GTGTGTGTGTGTGTGTGTGTGTGTGTGTTGGGGGGGGGGGGGGGGTACATACATGTAGCCAAACCACAACTACTATAAAGTATTTGATATTCTAGATGTATTGATGTGGCAGTAATTCACTGTGATTAGCCGTTAGCTTGCCATCAGACATGACCTAAAACCATTTTTCCAAACTGAGGTCGTTTTCTGACTGGTCAGCAGTTTTCCTAAACTAGACCACCATTCTAGTCCCCCATCTGGTGGGAAAAGCCACATTCAAGTCCGGCTGGATTCACATCCACACTGAACGACTCCTGTCAGCCAGGGTCAGAGGTCATAACGTTCTATGAACTAGCAGCTTCAAAGTTTAACATGACCTTCTGAGCCAGGGAAACTTTTGGGAAACATAAATCAGCAAAAGGAATTTCTTGTTATATAACTCTGTGTAAAGGAATCAAATTCATTAAATGTGAGTAAAAACGCTTTGGTCTGGTTGATTTATGACTGCCAGAAGGTTTAAGAGTGAAGGTAAGGGACTGTTATGTAACAGACGGCTTTAACTCCCACACCTGTTTTCAGCTGCTCTCTTAGCTGTAGTGCAAAGACAACATCAAATATAATACTGAAGTCAGACAGATCTTTTTAATCCAGACTGGCTCATTTTTCAATTATATACATTACGTGTTCAAATGGGACAATCATGCGAACATCAAATAATGTGAAAATAATCCAATCCAGAGCTTTGATCTAAATCTGTTATTGAGTCCAACTTTTTGGCCAAATAAAAAAGCGGCTAGCCACTAGCACTAGCTGCTAGCTTGCTCTGACTCCAGGCAGCCATTACTTGTATCGTCACGCCTCTGCTCGATCAGGAAACTTCTGAGTCAATTTTCTGCTCAAAACTTTGCATTTGGCTTCGTAGCTTGTATTATTTGGGTATGTTTGTTCGCATTTTAGCGAGCCTGGCTGCCGAACGGAGTTCTGTTTATCCTGTGTGTGTAGACGGGTCGAACCCCTCCCCCACGAGATCAGGAAACGGCCAAAAAGGCCGTGTATAATCTTCTGTTAGCAGATGCAAATACATCATGAATTTAGCTTAACGTGATAGATTTTTTTCCTCTGGACGAAATATTAAAGCATGTTTACACATAAAGAAAATAAATAGGTCACCAACAGAAGAGATAAAATAGGATGAGTTTTTGTTCCATTAAAAATTTGGTTTGGTATCTAAAAGAGATGAGAACATAATAATTAGCAGGGGTGTAACGGCACGCTAAAATCGTATTCGGTTCGGTTCAGTAGAGCTCGGTTCCATTAATTTTTGGTATATTATTATATTTACTGTATTTTCCGGACTATAAGTCGCACTTTTTTTCATAGTCTGGCTGGTCCTGCGACTTATATAACAAAGTGTCTTAAATACCAAATTATGTATACCGCGCTGCTGCGGGCCGGCTCCGGTCCAGGCTTCAGTTCCTCTGCCACGCTGGGAGGGTTTCAAACACCGCCATCCTCTGCTGGAGACCGTGGCGCGCTGCTGCGCCCTGAGTGTTTATACTGTTATTGTTACCGGTACTTGTCTTGCAATGTGAAATGCTTGGTCTCAGATTTTGTAAGAAAAATAATAAAATTTCCCCCCAAAATGCGATTTATATGTGTTTTTTCTTCTTCATCATACATTTTATGGCTGATGCGATGGCCGGTGCGACATACTCCAGAAAATACGGTATTAAAATATATCTAAAGCGGCTCCTATAGTTAGCAGAACCAGGTGTCATCACAGGCTGCTGATCTAACATGATGTATTTCATAATTTCACAGGTTATTTGTGCAGATACGAGTCTCACGCTCCTACAGACAAGTGTTGTGTTTGACTGTTGATGCTCCGTGTTTTAATTCTGCAGAGAGCCTTAAAAACTCACCTCACAAATAACGAGCTTCCTCCGCGTCACATTTTTCGTTAGTAGTCCCGGGGAAGTTCAGCAGACATGTTTGCAGCTTTGCCGCTGCGTGCCTGCACTAGTGACGGGATTTATGGCTCTTTCATGGGAGCCATTCATTAGTCGGTTGTTTATCTCAAAGAGCCGTTCAGAAGACTGGCTCCTTTGAACAACGTGAAGCCAAGAGAGAGGGGGTGGGGTATCAAGAGCAACGTCTTCCTGCGGTGTCCGTGAGGGCGAAAGGGGTTGGTTAGCGTTCCTCCCATAGATATGTATATAAACACGTGTTTATATACATATCTATGGTTCCTCCTACGTCCGTCACAGCGGTGGGTGGGGTTTGAGCGGGTGTAGGGTTGTCACGGTGTGAAAAATTAACCTCATGGTTATTGTGACCAAAATTATCACCGTTTTCGGTATCATCGCGGTATTTTTTAAACGTGCTACAATTTCAAAATAAACCCTGTATATCAGGAAAATTTTGTCCTCAGTTTGTGTCTAAATTTTGCCTAAAATGTGTTATTTTGTAATTATGTTATTTGTTTACATTTTCCCCTTTTATTCTTTAAAATACCAATATTTGCCCATAACTTCTTATTTTATGTCTGTTTGATGTCATCATTTTAAAAATATTAGATCAGATGATACTCAGTACTCAAGTAGACTTCTAATCAGATACTTTTTTACCCTTACTTGAGTAATAAACCCTATATCAGGAAAATATTGTCCTCGGTTTGTGTCCTTCCAGTGAGCTTTGCAGATGTGGGAAAATGTCATCAGGCAGTAATCTTTGTTAAATTCATAATTATTCTCGGAGAAAGACCAACTCTTATCTGCCCCTGGGAGCCCCGTAATGCATAGCGTCATTTCAACATGGGGGTGTCCGCGACACGGTTTATATGCAGGTAGCGGCGCTGCGGCTGCTTTATATAGCCACTCGTTGCATTCTCCCTCAACCCAAATCCTCGGATCACGCATTTTAGCTAAAGCGCTAACGTTAGCTTGCCTTGCGTTGACTGTAGAGTTGTGGGTGATGGTCACGCAGATGTGTTATGAGATTTGAACCGTTGCTGCCTTTCACAGACACTTTTTCTGCACGTGCTGCAAACAGGATAGCCGTCTTCTATCAGCTGTCCCTCGGCATTCTTCAAATATCCAAAAAATGCCCGTACTTCCCACTTTGTCTTCTTTGAGGGATAATAAATGTCCTGAGCGCTGCCGTCTCCTCCTTTGGCCGTTATTTCAGCTTTAACTTCAAGAAAGTTTTGGTTGTAAACAACAAAGTGCGCATGTGCCGCCGGCAACGTCAGCAGATGGTACGGTGGCTGGTAAGGGTCACCGCGCCTACACCGCAGCCACGGTAATCCACCGAGACAATAAATGTTTTTAAAAAACAAGACGGTTATTATTATTGTCAACTTTTTTACTGGGGTTTACCGCTACAACGGTTACCGTGACAACCCTAAGCGGGTGAGTTTGACCGACTTCTGGGGAGGTTTGTTAAGATGAACAGCTCTCTGCAGGGACTCGGCTCTCATCATTCACTTTGAAAACCCGTTCAAAAGATTTGATTCGTTCGTGAACGTCACATCACTAGCCTGCACAGTGTGAGAGAAGGGAGGGAGGGGCGAAGCGACGCTCCACTCAGCATCTCTACAGGCTGTAGTAGCAGCAACGGCCATCTGGTTTTATCTGCTCTGAAAGGCCTTGATCAGAATTTGCAGGTCACATTTTTAACCCTCCCACTGTCCTAATGGGGGTGAGGTGGTGCTCACTCCTCACCCCTGCCACGTGGACCTCAAGGGATAAACCATCAACCCTGCTCAATGGTCAACTTTCCTCGCGGGGTCACACCCATTAGGACAGTGGGAGGGTTAAACAGAGATTGGGCACATGCCGCCATCATGCGTCAATAAAGCGTCCGTGCGGAAACTCGCCTAAGAACTTTTATCCACTGCCCTTAAATCATGCAAATAAAAATTTATTATTTAACGGAAAAAATAAACGGAAAGGTTCAGCACATCCCCCACCCCCGTGAACCGTTACACCCCTAATAATTAGACTTTTTTATAATGTTGCGTTATTTTTTATGGCTTCACACTGGACTGGGATGAGGTTTGTTCATTTTCAGCTCAAGAGAAATTCCCAGATGATCTGAGTCCACGAGTAGATCAGAGTGAAGTTTCAACTCAATACTAAGGATAGAAGCAGCTTCTTATTTCCTGTAGTCTAAAACTCATCGCCCCGGTCCGATGTAGCCAGAAGAAAACCTTCCAACCAGCTGGATGAAGATTCCTCCGTGACTTTATTTGTCCCAGATGTCCCCACTGGGGTCTCTTGTCTCTTGTGTCATGAGATGTGTTCGCCTGGCAGGAGTCCAACCTGAGATGAGTTTTTACTGGTTTTAACACCTCAGAGGCACCAACATGTGTGCTGCAGCCACTCTGCGACAGCGCTGCTCAAACAAAGAAAATCCAGACAATAACAGAAGGCCCGGTTCTGCTGAAGGTTCTGCTCTCCACAATAAAAACCTTTCATGTTTGTGGCTGATTTTTGGAATCGGCCCGTGTCCAAACATCAGGTCATCTAGTGTTTCTGTACTTTTACAGTAAAAACAAGATTTTCACAATAAAAGCACGTTAATTAAGTATCTGCAGTTTTTCTAAGTGAGTAACACATTTTTAAGAACTAATGATTCTGTGAGAAGTTGTGGCCTTCATTACTTTAACATATTGGATCTAATTTCCCTGTAATCATGTTTTACGCCCTGCTGTGGTCTGAGGTTGGTAAGGCCAGAGGCAGATGATGGTTTAGAGGTGATGCCATGAAGGTGCTGAGAAGGTTTGGATCTGGATCCAAACTCAGGAGATAACGTTATGTGGTCCAGCAGAACCTGAACAACTCCAACCTGCTGCCTTTAAAGACCCTTTGGTGGTTTACTCCTATAAATAAACTAAATTTAACAGGAAATAAATTTAATTCAGTTGTTTTTCTTGACTGAGAAACAAAGTTTTCCACTTCTAAATTCATTTACCCTAAAAGCCTGATGGTGATCAAACATCTCACCCCACCGACTCATACCTGGTTCTTGCAGCATCCCGGAACCAGACTCGCCTCCGAAGTCTGCGTCAGGTGATGCGACGCTTCTGGGTAAAAACCCGAGGAGGCAGAAGGTCCACCTCCAGAGGAACATCTCCGCTTTATTCACCTCAAACTCTCACAAAAGCTGGAAGTAAACGTCTCCTGGGTCCCAACTCCATCTAAACACGAGCCACAGGCAGGAACACAGCTGGTGCTGCTCTCTTCCTCACCTCCTCTGCGTCTCTTCAACCTTTCTCCTCCTGCAGCTCATTAGCACAAGCCCCGCCCACTTCGGTCTCCTCTCCTCCAATTAGAACCCTCCCTGTGATTTATTTTCAACTCTTATCATTTTTTAATTTGATGACCTCATTACTGTTCTGAACAAAAACCAAGGAAACTCATTGTTTATTCTTTATATAATAACAATTAATGTATTTGATATGTTTATTTAAATAAATGTAAATTGCCTGAATAAAAATGGGGATATATATAAAACATGAATCAACATTTACACAAAAGATTAAACAGTTTGAGTTCATTGTTGCACAAAATGAATCGGTTTTATCCTGCAGGTTTTCCCTCACTTAGATTTGTAAGCTATGGACACTAAGTGGTGGAAAAAAAACATGTTTGGGGGTGGGTTGGGTGGGGAGCTGAAAACAGTGGCGGATTTAGCAATTTGGGGGCCCAGGGCAAACACAGACATGGGGCCCCTTACACTAAATTTTCGACAGTCTTATCTTTAACTGGATTTGCGAAACTCTCCCCTCTTCTGACACGAGTTATCTTCCCTTTTTATTAGTCCTCTTCTTTTTCCCTGTCTTTCTCTCCCTTTGAGTGCTTTCAATATTTGCTCTGCTTTCTTTTTCCTGTCAGTGCTCCTGTGCTTTTGCCTTACTTTATTTTTTCTTCTATTTTCCATTTTGGTCTATGTTTTCCTCCCTTTAAACATTTTCCATTGTCTTTCCTTTTCTGCCTCCTTTTGATGTTTACATCGAAAAACGACGTCACTTTCAGAAGTGAAAATAAAAGCTTTTTTAAAGCGAGCTGCTTCTTTCTCTTATTGGAGCCACTAGGATAACTCAATTTCATGCTTAATGTTTTGACTATCGCTTCGAGTTTGTTACGAACGATCCGCCTCTCTTCTTCTTCTTTGTGGTTTTATGGCACTTGGCAAACAACAATTTGGTGCATTACAGCCACCAACTGGATTGGAGTGGAATGACTACCAATTACTTCCTGTTTGTGCATCGGCATCTTAAAGGAATAGTCCATTGTGGGATTAACAGAGGGGTGCCAGCAGTCAGGGCTAGGGGGCCCCCAACATAAGGGGCCCTCAGGTGGCCGCCGACCTATGCCTAATGCTAAAACCGTCACTGACTGAAAATATTAGGAAATAGATCATATCGCATAGAAAGTAAGAAATGAGAGGAAGAATGTTCTCCAAGGAAATACAATTGGTGAAATAAGGGGTTAGGTTTAAATTTATAGAGTGTATAAAATCAGAGTTAGAAGCTCCACCTTCTGCTGCTCCTTAATCTCAACATTCCCAAGATTTTATATATTTCAGCTTTGTTAACAAAATTAGGCTAAAATGGTCTCTTCCTTCCATCAGTTGTCTAAACTTGCTTATGCATGCAAGGTCATCGGGGGCTGATGCCCATCTCCAGCTGCCTCTGGGCAAACAGGCGGGTACACCCTGGACAGGTTGCCTGTCCATCACGGGGCAACAGACACACAGGATAAACCAATCACACACACAACAATTTAGGGAAACCAATCAACCGGACAGTCATGAGCTGTTTTTAGAAGACAATGCCGTCAATTTGCGGCAATGCTGAAACAGCATCAGCGAGCCGTAGGTCATTTATCAGACCATGCCGGCAATGTTGCGCCATCGTGTCCTTTTCACTAAAGATTACGCAATGGTGGTATAAAGGGGGTATGGGGGCGGTCTCTGCACTGCTGTGGACTTCGGTATAATCTTGGACATAACTTGGTGTGTATTGCGATCGAAGCCACTCCTAAAGGTGTCTGTCCTCCACAGTCCCTGTGCCATCTCTAGTGGTCTGAATCCCAGCTCTAATGGAGAAAAGTTCCAAGATTGCCGCATCGCTCCAGTACATCAGCTCAGCTGATTCTGTTTACCATTTTTACTTTCATTTTTAATAAAGTTGCCGGCCGGAGCTCGGCAACAACTCCCCATGTGATCACGACACTTCCCACTGTTGTGCCAAGGTGTAATCGGCGATTACACCTTGGCACAAGTCAGAATATTATCACAATATTACTACCAAGCGAGGCGGAACGAATGCCACAAAATTTGGGCAGTGGTGTGTTTATAAGACAGACCTAGCCGTAATATTACGCTGTATTGTTGGCACGGTGTGTCTTGTAAAAAGGGTTATGGTTTTGGCCTGTGGGGGAAGCCGGAGTACCCAGAGAGAACCCACAGATGTACAGGGAGAACGTGCAAACTCCACATAGAAAGACCCCAGGTAGGGATTTGAACCCAGGACCTTGTTGCTGCCAGCCAACAGCACAAACCACTGCGGTACTATGCAGCCCAAAATAGTCTCTTCTAACTGGTTAAATCCACTCAACAAAAATATAAACACAACACCTTTGTTTCTGCTCTGATTTTTCATGAGATGGACTCAAAGATCTAAAATTCATTCCAGATACACAATATCACCATTTCTCTCAAACATTGTACGTTCACAAATCAGTCTAAATGTGTGATAGTGAGCACTTCTGCTTTGCTGAGATAATCCATCCCACCTCACAGGTGTGCCACATCAAGATGCTGATCTGACATCATGAGTAGTGCACAGGTGTACCTTATACTGCCCACAATAAAAGGCCACCCTGGAATGTGTAGTTTTTTGCTTTATTGGGGGTCTGGGGACTCAGAACCGGTCAGTATCTGGTGTGACCACCAGTTGCCTCATGGAGTGCAACACATCATCTTCACATAGAGTTTATCAGATTGTCAATTGTGGCCTGTGGAATGTTGGTCCACTCCTCTTCAATGGCTGTGCGAAGTTGTTGGATATTAGTGGGAACTAGTGCATGCTGTCGTATACGCTGGTCAAGCACATCCCAAACATGCTCAACGGGTGACATGACAGATCTATGTCACACTGTAGATTAGCATTCATGGAAACACCCATCTTGACTCACAACGGGTAAGGCTGTTGTTTTAGCGTCCGGAAATCAGCAGAGAACGTCTCGGCTAGTTTAAGCTAACTTTAAGCTAACCACACGGCAGAACTCCTCCAGGCTTGTTATTTGCAGAGATAAAACATCAACGTTGCAAGTCAGTGGTCGAGTTGAGCTGCTGTTGTCCAATCCCAGGAGAGATGTCCAAATATCAGGAAATAATGCTCCGAAACCTGCCGTCTGAAGCTCAGCTGCGATGTGGGTAACTTTTCTGAGAAATTATAAGATAATTTATAAATACAAACAGCGTGGACGAATACGCATGCAGGACAGCACAACACATGTGAAAGTGTTATGGGGAGGAGGATTAGCATTGTAAACTGTGAAGAGCAGCATTGGCAGAAGGAACAAAGTTTTTAATGAACCGTCCGCCTCCTCCTCAGAGTCGTGTATCTGCGGTGTATCACCTCTTACATCAGGAAGAATCCGCGCGTTTCAAGCGTTATCCATTCTTTCATAATCCGTTGTTGAATTGTGATCGGCAGAAGCTTTTCCGGTTCGCGCCTCACTTTTTTTACAGCAGCGGCCCAAAACGATCTCCTAACACATGGATGTTCTGCTTCCTGATCACGTGACGTGTGACGTATGCGGATGAAGATCGGCTTCAGAGCTGAAATGTTTGTTCTCACGGTGCGGGGGCTCGTCCGACGCCCACACAGTAAAAATATGCAAATGACGACTTTCATCGTCAATGGCAGTGAACGAGTTAAAGAAAACGCTAAACTTCTCCACTTAGGATAAGGTTGTCATAAATCTCTTGCTTCTCCCTAAAACTTCGGGTTTTATGCAGACACCAGACACAAACGCAGCCACTCTTTAAAACATGGAGGTGTGCGGACCGGGCTTTAGGATTAGCTTATTATTTAAAACTAGATAGAGCCAAGCAGTTCTCCTCTAAACATCTCAGTCTAATTATCAGTTAGCCTCCATGTTTGTTTCCTCTAGCACCTCTCTCTGTTTTCTCTGATTAGTCCTCTTTGTTCTCTTACCTTGCTCTGTCCTAGAACCTGGCCATCTCCTCTGGATGTCCAGATGTTTTAGATCCGCGCGGATCTTCATCCTCTCGTGTCTCTCCCTCCTGCATACTTTCCTAATTTCTTCTAGATGTATGAACAGTGTGTTTAAGCTTTTCCACCTGCATGTCAGTCTGTCCTCTCTCCAGGGTTCAAGGTGAGGGGAAGGTCACGAGACGCTAAGTTCCACTTTAAACGGCTTCAGGTTGCTCGAGTAATGTGAACCTTCAGTGATCTGCTTTTTTTGGTTTCCTAGACATCTGAGACTTTTCAGGAATCTGCTGATGTTCCTGATGTTGGTACAGGAGAACATGTTTACTTTGATCTTCCTTCAGGATTTAACAGCAAAAGCAAACAGAAGATCACCTTCACAGAGCTCATATCCAGCTCAGGGAACAAGGTAAGGGTTTAAGCCTCCATGCCTCGTCAGCACAGCAGACTAGAACGGCGTCTGATCCCTCGGTATCAGCTGGTTTCAGGTCATTTAGATCTTTAGGAATGTCAACACACGCTGAGCAGAACCTTCTGGATTTAGAAGTCCACATAGAAAGTGGATTCATGCTGTAGATGAAAGGTCACTATGTTGGTCAATATATAGGTGGAGATTGACCCTTTTGGTATGTTGCATGAGCATTGGCCTGGACAGCACGCTTCAGAAGGTTCTCAGTTTTCCAAACAAGGAGGAAATCTTGCTTCTCATCCAAAGAGCTTCTGAGTTCATTCAGAAAAATGCCAAATTACAAGATCTAATGAGAACTTTGTGTACGTGAGCCAGTTCCCTAACCGCTTCCTCGAATTCCCGATCCTCCGTCCTGAGGGTCGTGAGGGTGTTTGGTGTCCTGCTCCATGTGAGATCTTTAGATTTTGATCAAAGTATCACTAAAAGTGAAGGAACTACTTGATTTTAGAGTCAACTTTAGTCTGTTTTTCAGACATCTCCTAAACTATTGGTTACATTTTAATGGGACAGTAGTAACCTCAGGAGGTAGAGCGGGTTGTCCAGTAATCAGAAGGTTGCAGGTTCGATCCTGGCTCTGACCAGAGAATGCTGCTGTTGTATCCTTGGGCAAGACACTTCATCTGCCTTGCTTGCTGGTGGTGGTCGGAGGGACCAGTGGCGCCTGTGTTGGGCAGCCTGGCCTCTGTCAGAGCGCCCCAGAGCAGCTGTAGCTACATCGTAGCTCATCACCACCAGCATGTGAAGGGGGGAATTACTGATTGTGTTGTGAAGCGCCTTGAGGGGATGTAGAACCCCAAGAAGGAATTATACAAAAACAAGCCATTCACCATTCCAATAACACTCGGAAAGCGAATTGGCTCCCAATGGGAAAGGCCATTGTTGGTTTAACACCCAGGAAACAGCAGAGAACATTTCAGCTAGTAAAAGCTAACTGTTAGCATTAGCAACTCCACCACACAAAACTAATCCAGGCTCGTGTTGTTTGTCAAGATAAAACATTAGCGTTGCAGAAAGAGAAGTTTCATTAACCTAAATGAATAGCTTCAGTTGGTAGGAAGCTATTTAATTAAGTTTATCCAACCTAAATTATTAAAATTGTAGTTTATCCAACCTAAATTATTAAAATTGTAGTTTATCCAACCTAAATTATTAAAATTGTGTCATGTTCCTGGGCAGAGGTGAGTCACACCATCTCCTCTCACCAGACTCTGAGCTGATTCTCCACAGGTGAGGAACAAGGGGAGCGGCAGCTGCAGATTTCCCAATCAGGGACGCGGGTTAAGGAGGATGGAGACACATCACTTTGCCGGATGATTGCACAAGTTTAGGTAGCACCAGCCTTTGACCTTGATTTAGTTTGGTCGTGTTTTGACTCGTGTTTGACTATTGGATTTATGACCTCGGATTGTGTTTTTGGATTACGATTTGGATTATCCTTTACACTTGGTTTTTGTTCCACTCAGGATCCTCTCCTCATCTACTCACCTGGATAACACACATCACGTCCCATCCTCCTCCGCTGCTCCTATTTGGCTTCCCTCTGCTACCTCGCCTCTCCTGGACCTCTCACCCTCTGCCCAGCGTCCTTCCTGGCTTCCTCTCATCTCCTCATCAACCTGAGCACTTCAGAGACTCGAGCCGTATTGCTCATCCCACAGGACTTCCCTGTGCGGTTTCAGTTCCCGTTTTCATAATAAAGACGTTTTACTTTACTGCTTGGACTACATGTGTTGATTCTGCATGTCTTGGGTTAGGCACTTACCTCGAGTCATGACAAATTGTAGTTTATCCTACCTAAATTATTAAAATTGTAGTTTATCCAACCTAAATTATTAAAATTGTACTAATAGTTTAAGTTGGATAAACTTAATTAATTTGCTTGTTACCAATTGAAGCAATTTTTTAAGTTGGATCAACTTTTTCTTTTTACAGTGTATAGAGTCGTGTTGCTGTTAGCCAAATATCAGGAAACAAGATCCCGTCGTCTTCTCTGCTCTGAAACAGCCACTCATCTATAGTAGAGACCACTGAACATGTGATGACAAACTTACCTACATCCCAGCCCTGACAGTGGAGCTGTCGAGGATTCAGCTTACCAAACAGGAAACGTCCACATATTCATGTTTTAATACAGTTTGTGCCTCAGCGTGTCACTTTGCTGTACATCATATCGTACATTATGATTCACAAACTTCACACACAAATGTAAAAGTAGCGCTGAAGCCTGAACCTGGACTCTGTGAGGGTGAAGCTACAGGGCGTCGTCGTCGCATAGCCCTACCATTTGAATTCAGCAGTCATCTGCAACAACACAACTCTTTATTAGATCTGTGAGTTTACAAACAGGTACTTCAGCCCACAAAACCCTCACACAATACTTATCTCAAATCAACGAGATGAACAGGAGGGACACCCGTAACACGTGGGCTTACATGGCAAAGAGAAAATGTACGATACATGCTTGAGGAGATCAAAGTTTCTGAAATCAAATATCTTTGTGTGGATATTAAAAAATGGCACTTTTCCTCCAAACTCAGCTGTTTTTCTGGAACTCGCTGGCAGTATATTAGATAAAGGCAAAATGCTCACCCTTTAGACGAAGTACAGACACGTGTTTCACACCTCTCTCGTGCACTACATCACTTTGGACAAATTCTGATTCATCTACCACAAAAATCAGTACAAAAAGGTCAGCAGATTTTTTTTGCATTTATACCAGACTCAAACACAAATTTTGTTCTGTGCATCCTTTTTTGTTTCTGAAATCCCAGCCGAGTTTACTCTGTTCAGTCCGTCTGATCCACGGCGAGGCTGCATCTTCACACGTCGAGGTAAACGAGGCACTTGGTAATTAGCCACTTAATGTCAGAAAACAGTTCGGGTCCGACGGGCGCGGCGTAAGAAAACCGGACGGTGGACACCCTTCATTAATCCGGCAGCTGTCTGTAGGGGTTGAATCAGAGCTTAAAGATCTGACGGAGAACAGCTTTTTATTAATCTGCTTTGGCAAAACGTCGGTGATGAATACGCAGAAATAAAAACAAACGAGGGAAAAGTCTGTTGCGATTTTTAAACACTAGAACGGTGATGTGACCGCTTCACTCGGACGCATTTGGCTTTTGTCTTCAGCTCAGGTGGATTTACTCGTCTGTGCCAGACTTCAGTGCGACTAAAGGGGATAGAAACGGTTCTTTTCTGTAAAGAGTGAGAAACGCTGGGAAGCTGGAGCGACCTCTGAACCCTGCTCACAGCACACTCCAGTCCCCTGGTGTTGTAACTGGCCTCCAGTAGAACCACTCCAGTTAGCACCAGTCATCCTCCTCCTTGTCCCTGAGACCTCCTATTCCCCTGCTCCCAGATCCAGGTCCAGACCCGAGGGTGAAGTGGTACCCGTTAGGCACCCCACCCACCCGTCCTGTGGTGGGTGCAGCGGCGCTTCCCTGTGAGGATGACGCAGTAGTCCTGACGCTGTGTCCCCCTCCATGGCTGCTCACAGCATCCTGGAAGTCCTCGCCCTCTTCATGAAGGGCCTGCTGAGAGGAGTCTACCTGCTGCCGGCTGGAGTCTGACCCGGGACCGGTGACGGGTATCTGGGACTCATCGTGGCCCTCGAGCAGGCGGTCGTGCTCCGAAACTCCTCGGATGAAGCGACTCTGGTGTCCCGTCGCAGCGGCGCCAGAGCTAGAGGATGGAGCAGAGGAGCTGACGGTCTTGAAAGCCACAGCAGGACGAGGTGTGAGTGGCGTCTGGGGGAGCTGCCTGCGACCACGACCTTGTGTGCTGGTACCAGAGGGAGGACCGGATTTAACTGCAAAGCTCCCCTGCTGAGAAAAAAACCCAAACATCTCAAATGAAAACATGAAAGAGTCTCAGACTTTGTGACCTGGAACCAAGTCCCATCCTGGCTGTGTGCTCCTGCAGCTTCCCAGTGAACCAGAACAGGGTGAGTCAGAGACTTTCTGTAGATGACTGAACTTCTTCATTGTGATTTGGATGTGAACAAGGACAAATCCTCTACAGAAACCTAACTTCAAATCAAACCCTCCGGCTTGGTTCCATGATCAGCTTTAAGCCCCGCCCCTCCATGGGCTAAAAACTACAAAAATACCACAGAACTGTTTTCCCAGGAGTTGCATCCTGTTATACTTCTCATCCTATTAAATGTAGCTGTTATGACTGCCTGTAGGACAGTGGGCGGGGCTTCTAGCCCTTGTTTCTGGGTGTTCATACAGGTCTAACAACCACCTGAAAACAGGAAGTTCTGGCTCCACAGAGATGCCTGGTTGGTCTTTATAAATGATTGAGACCAGATGGCTGAGGACAAAATCATGTTTTGATGTTAAAGATGCGCCGATTCTCGTTTTGAGGTTAAATTCCAGTTTGATCTGATTCTAATTGGTCTCGAAGAAACAGTGAGCTAACAGACGCAGCTTTTGGGTGCATTTTTACTCTGTTTGCACAATAGTCATTTACTCACGTTGTTGTAAAAGAGAAAAGCTGGGAAAACAAATATGGACACATTTAAATTCCCAAGAGTAAACATCTGCTGATGGTTCAGGAGCCCTAATCCAGCTGTGAGGAACATCTCATGCTGACCTGTTTGAGGAACCCGGAGTCCTGACCCTCTCCTGGAGACGTGGACCTGCTGGGACCGGCTGACCTGGCGTGACCCTGCTCCCTGGTGCCGTAGCGCTCACAGGAGTAGTACCGCTGCTTCTCCCCGACTGACGAGTGGTGTCTCCTCTCATGGGGGCGACTGCGATCCCGCTCCCTCGCTCTTTCTCTGGACAAACCCTCATCTTGGGGGTCGATAAATGAACCTGCACAAAGGTCCACGATGTTAGAGAGAGGATGTGTGTGTGAGTGTGTGCGTGCGTGCGTGCGTGTGTGTGTGTGTGTGCGTGTGCGTGCGTGCGTGTGTGTGTGTGTCTGCTCTGTCTTCTCCATCCCCAGTGAGTGGTGGAGGATGGCTGCTTATACTGAGCCAGGATTCTCTGGAGGTTTCTTCCTGTTAAAAGGGAGTTTTCCTCTCCACTGTCGCTGCATGCTTGCTTGGTATGAGGATTGCTGTATAGTCACTGACACTAGTCAGTGACTTGATGCAATTTGCTGGGTTCCTTATATAGGAAACATTATTTCTGATTGGCTTAATGAACTGACCTGAATTGGAATGTTTATTATGTGAAGTGCCTTGAGACGACTCTTGTCGTCATTTGGCGCTTTATAAATAAACTTGAATTGAATTGAATTGAATATCACATAAAATAAAATAAAATAAAATAGATAATATAATATAATATAGTACAAATATAATATGATTTTATATAATATAATACAATATAATAACTATATTATATAAATAATATAACATAATACAATACAAATATAATAGGATTTAATATTATATAAAATAATATAATATAAATTATATAATTTAATATAATACAAATATAATATAATATAATACAATATAACATAACATAATACTATATTATATTATATTTGTATTACATTATATTATATTATATTTATTATATATATTATATAATATTATATTATCTAATATAGTAAAGGAGTCTTCAACTAGATTTGGGCCAGAGTTTCTTCCAGCAGAAACTGTGAGGGCCAGATGTTCTTCTAAAATAAATTTATTGTATCTTAATTTATTAATATTTGATATTTTAACCCTTTGGTGCATAACGGTCGCTACAGTGGACAGGTACTCAAAATTGTTATTTATTTGTTTTTGCTATTAAGCACAGCTGTTGAAGACTTTATTGCATGTGAGCCCCTCCATTTGGACTTCAGTAAGTCAAGCCAACATATTTCATGATCAGAACGCACGCTGTCCACTGAAGTGGACATGTAATAAACTATTTGTAAATTATAAAATTTTACAAAAAATATTTGTTGAAATTTGTTTCATTCACACCTAAATATGATTCAAAAAAATTGTTAAAAAATCATGGTTGAAGATTTCATAATTCATGCATCAAAGGGTTAATTCGTTTTTGCATTTGTCAGTGTTTGTTCTTATCTCCTTTACTAAACCAAGCCACTAGGGGGCGACTGCAACCTTTTGTGAAGCAAGTACGCTCTCCTACTTTGACGTCGTATTTCAAGTAAACTATTTACCAACAAGTGCTCGATCCTTAGTTAGGAAGTGTTTTATGTTACATTAATTTTACCTAATCAGCTTGTTTCCTTCCTTAATTATAATTCCATTAGCTGCCTCTGCCAACCAACCTGGTAAATATTGTTTACTTGTACATGTGATGCTTTCTTCCCATGAGCATGTTTTGCCAAGACGGTAATTATGCAATATTAAAGTGGAAAGTGCTAAAGCGGAGATTCTAGGAACTGCTGCAGATTAAATATAAAATGTTGACTTAGAGCTGAGTTTGTACTCATTTCTGATTAAAGACTTTTTGTTTAATTAGATATAAAAAAGTTGACTATGATTTTCTCTATTCCTGGTTCAGTAATAATGGGGGGCAGGTGGATAGGTCTGGCGGGCCGGGTGTGGCCCGCGGGCCGCTAGTTCACATTCACTGTTCAATATAATATATTATAATAATTCTATACGCTCGGTGCAATAATAACACCAGAAACCCATTCATGGTCACGTAAAGTGCTGGATCTGAAAGGAGCTGAAGCTGTCATTTCTCTCTTTGGTCAGTGTTCTCTCGTTTCACCCTGACGTAACAATAAATCCTGCGGAGGACCCGTCTGCGTGGTCTTTTATCTCGGCTGAACCACCGTGCTGGGACTCTTAACCGTTGACACCAGAACTGTCCTGCCACCACCTCTCAGGCTTTAATCTCTTTACCTGATGATCCCTGACGGAGAAGGCCAAGAGTCTACAAACAGAAAGGAATTTAACCTTTGGCTGGAGTCCAAGGCCTTGGCGCCATCTAGCTCTTCAAACCCAGGGTCCCATCTCAGATCTGGAAAATGCGCGCTTTGTTTTCTAAATGAGTCTAGTGCGAGACACGATGGTAACAGTCGTGCAAAGTCTGGCAAATTTCATGTTTAAGTGTAATTTTAGAGCATCTTCATTTGTGCTCATTTTACTTGCCGTTTCATTGACTCAAGTTGTTAAGATTCTCTTTTTGAAGGTCACAGCTCAAACCAGAGTCTCACTATTTTACTAGACAAGGTCCAGGAAGTTCCTGGGAAGACGAGATGGTGACAATCGGTGTTTCTCAATGCCAAGGAACCTTGCCTTGATGTCTTGGCCCCGCCCCGGTTGCCTAGGTGATATGTCATCAGGAGCCACCAAGACGTGTTCCAATGTTCATATTCTACAGAGGCGTGTGTTCTCCGTTTGTTATCCGTTTAGCTAGCTGAGTGAGGATACACGGGAGGTGTCTTGTAGCCTAGCCTTGGTCAAAAATTACCCAGAATACACCGCAGTATTTTCAAAAGGATGGCGGATCAGAAGCCGGCAGCTACTTCAGGACAATTTTCAAGTTTAAAAGTAAGTCAGCTAATTTAAAATGTTTTTTAAATCCAAAGAAGTTATCTATGGTTGGTTAGTTGCTTAGTAGATGCAGCTTCGGTGGCTAGCGGGTAGTAACTAGCTTATATATTTAATTTAACAAACATATACACAATTTAAAAAGTAAAAGTCTCGTTATATATTTATATTGAAACTTATACGTATAAAATATAACGTTATCTCCCGTGACACGTGATGTTACGTGACCGCCATGGAAGCCGCGGTCACGTGATGCAAGTCTGTTCCATTTAACCGTTTTCTTTGACCAAGGAAGGACCGTGTCCTCGTAAGCAAGGCGCCTGGCCTCGCTAGACATCGCCTCACAAGGCCAGGCGCCTGGACATTGAGAAACACCCGGGGAATATCCCAGGCTTCCTGGATTCTAAACCATTGTGTCTCCATTTATTGGCCGATTAGCACATAGCCGTGTTTTCAGTGGTGAGTGGTGCCAAAAGGTGCCCACAGCAGCAGAGAATACGGAATAAAATCGTTTTATAACTTTTCATTTTACGACAAATGCAAACGCCCCTCCAGTGTCTGTCGGCCGGTGTTAGTCCACATGTGTTCCCCCTCGAGATCTGTTTCCTTTGCACCCAGCTGCGACTTTGAACCATCCACTCCAAAAATGCGTGTCCCAACCCTTACCCTTACCCTAACCAAAACCTTGAAACAAACAGAAAAATGGCGCTACACATAATACTTTCAAAAATTTAAAATATGCAAAACAAAGGGTGAGGGCGAGAGTTATTTTTTGTGAGTGGGTCGTCTCCACTCGCATCTGGGTGCAACAGAAACAGATCTCGAGGGGGGAACACATATCGACACAACACCGGGACTGGAGAGCAGGAAATTGTCGGTTGCTGTAGCAACCCCAAGCCGCCGCCTGGCACTGTCCATGTCAACAACTGGTTAATTCTGAAATCAGGACAGAAGAAAAGACAGCAGCGTTATCACAGATGTAAGACCTCTAAGCCAGACACAGCGTGGCAATGGCGGCTATGTCTTGCTGGTTTTGCAAACGGGACACCCTCCCCCTACTGGTTACCTGCATATTGCAGCTTGAGAACATGTCGCCGTAATTTCAGATATGCACACAAACGACACTTCAAACAAACACAAGTTACGCGATGTAGCAACGATACACGCCTACGCGTGATTAAAAGCAAGTACATTCGGGCTAAGGAGATGGAAGAAGCTGGGATGGCTGCTACATTTCTGTTTGCTGTTATTAAACAGCAATGGTAAATCCTGGTTGTGTGGTGACATCTACTGTTATCATTTCCTACTGAGTTACTGCCAGTCAGCATGAGTTACCCACAAGTCCCGCTCAGAGACTCTAACAGGCCATCTAGTACCCAGGGCAGGTACTCATTTGGTTCCCGAAATGACCGGAACATCGTTTTCCTGCTACAACAGAGACACACACACATCGTGAAGGTCTGATAAAATTAACTGGTAGTTCATAGAGTTGAAACAGAACTAAAAGTGCGTGAAAATGCACACATTTTCTGTTATGCTTCTGAATCTTTCAAGTAACCTTTAGGTGAAGTTTTAGTTTTTAGTCAGCACCACCTCACCCCTGCCACATGGACCTCAAGAGATAAACCATCAATCTTGCTCAATGGTCATCATTCCTTGCGGGGTCACCCACAAAGACAGTGGGAGGGTTAAAGATCTCTAAGTTCGTAGAAATAAATACCCCCCGACTCACGCGGGGACATCGAGAAACCTTCTTGTTATTCTAACTTGTAGCAAGTCACGTCCCGTAAGATGCTTTAATCCTACATCAGTTCAACGTTTCTCTAAACCAGGGGTGTCAAACTCCAGTCCCCGAGGGTCACTATCCCACATGTTTTAGTGTTTTTCCTGCTTCAACACTCCTGATTTCAATCAGAAGGTGATTAACAAGCTTCTGGAGAGCCTGGTGAGCTGCTGCACAGGTGTTTCAACTGTGTTGGAACAGGAAACAACAAAAAGATGCAGGATACCAAGGACTGGAGTTCGACACACCTGATTTCAACACATCCTCGGACTGCAGGTTTACTGGTGGTTCCCAGAATATCTGAAAATAGGACGAAGGCAGATCTTTTAGTTATCAGGCTCCTCTCCTGTGGAACCAGCTCCCAGCTTTAGTCCATGAGGCAGACACTTTGTCTACTTTTAAGAATAGGCTTAAAACATTTTTATTTGATAGGGTCTATGGTTAAAATCTGATGTTAGCCTAAATCTGGACAAGTGGGGGAGTAGAGGGAGGCGGAGTGTACAGTCGGTAAAGACGGCTCTCCATTGCCCTGCCTCCAACATGCCTCCATCTAAATAGGATAGATTATCCAGAGTTAACTCTGTAGTTATGCTGCTATAGGCTTAGACTGCTGGAGGACACACTGACCACTTTTCACACTCTACTACTTTCTTCTACAGTCTGCTCTTTAACTGTATTATTTCCTGCTATTTCAGCTGTTAACTTTATTTTCTCTGTAAGTGTTTTTCTCCCCAGAAGAAGCTACAACGACGTTCTGCTGAGCTGTGGTGGCCTCATGGAGGGGGCCATCGACTAGCACACTGCTGCTAACCACTAATACATTCTCTCTCTCCTGATAATAACTTTTTGGTTTCCTTGACTTTTGATGTGCTACTACTAGTTTATCCGTTTAATTATAGATTCACTAGGATAAATACAATAAAGTTTATCTTTCACCAAATACAATATTTACTAAGAAATCACAATGTAACTATAGACACATTACTAGTCTTTGTGTGTGTGTGTGTGTGTGTGTGTGTGTGTGTGTGTGTGTGTGTGTGTGTGTGTGTGTGTGTGTGTGTGTGTGTGTGTGTGTGTGTGTGTGTGTGTGTGTGTGTGTGTGTGTGTGTGTGTGTGTGTGTGTGTGTGTGTGTGTGTGTGTGTGTGTGTGTGTGTGTGTGTGTGTGTGTGCTCTGTCTTCTCCATCCCCAGTGAGTCGTAGAGGATGGCTGCTTATACTGAGCCAGGATTCTCTGGAGGCTTCTTCCTGTTAAAAGGGAGTTTTCCTCTCCACTGTCGCTGCATGCTTGCTTAGTATGAGGAATGCATCAAGTCACTGACACTAGTCAAATGTTGGAGACACCAGTCAGTGACTCGATGCGACCTGCTGGGTTCTTTACATAGGAAACTTTTCTGATTGGATTAATGAACTGACCTGAATTGGAATGTTTATTATGTGAAGGTCCTTGAGACGACTCGTCCTGACTTGGCGCTTTACAAATAAACTCTAATAGAATTGATCTAAACCATGAAATCATTTGGTCTCACCAAGAGTGCTGGACGGCGGCACTGATGACGTTGTATCTAGAGACTTTTGCTTCTTGTCTTTGTCGTTGTCCCTGCGCCGATGGCAGTGGTGGTGGTGATGATGGTGGCTTCTGTCCTGTTGGGGATCTGTAGCAGACTGGTGCCGAACATGTTCCAGGCTGTATTCCCTCAGCTCTACCTCCTGCAGGTGGCGCTGTGGCGACAGAGAGGACGCCGAGCGTTTTATGGGGCTGAGGTCAATGATGGGCTGGAAGAAGAAGGTAAAGTTTTAAGAGAAAGCTGGATAAAAGTGACTTCACCCAACAAAATATTCACATCAAACACAAAAAAGACGCAACCTTTTGTCCAAAGGTCAGACCTGACGTCTTCCACAAATGTTGAAGTTTTAGAAGAATGAAAACGATTCAGCAACTAAACAACTTGAGGCTGCAGAACCTTTAGCAGCTGGTAGGAGTTTCTACCAACAGACAGAGACGTGGTGACGGTGGTTGGGTGGGTGTGACACCGGCCTTTCTCAGTTCTGTTCAGTTAAAGAGCAAGTCACCCCCAAATCAACTTTTTTTTCCTGATAAACTATATAAATGTGTGTCTAATCGTGCTGCAGACACGTGTAGTTAATAGTTTTGTACTTTAGTGCATTTTAGTTAAAATTGTAATTTTCTGCCTAAAACTGTCAGTGTTGTGCCGTTGTCAGGTAAAAACTCTGCACTGCATTAGAATTTAAATCTGCCACCGCTATTGGCTAAGAGGTATGCTATGATGTCAACTGGTCCTTATGATGTCACAATGCCGTTGTGAGCCTGTGTGTGTGTGTATTTGTTAGCAGCTCCGCCCTCTCGGTCAGCCAGGCAACAGCATTTGTTGCATTTTTCAAACATGAAGAGGGAGTGAAGTAAGTTTCTTGTAGGGGGTGACTTGCTCTTTAAAACTAAACACAACCCAGTTTAATGATATATAAATCATGCAGATCTGGAACTGTGGAAACCAAATTTAAACGCTGAAATGTCTTTTTTCAGCATCGTCTACAAATCTGATCCAATCGATTTTTCTTTAGAGGTAAGGACGATGTCACTCACCCCACAAACTTCTTACCTCGAAGAGTGGCTGAGCCAAGAGCAACCCAAACTGAGAGATGAAAACTTTAAAAAGCAGCAATAATTTATCCAGATTTTAAAGTTTGTTTCCTTTTAGTTTAGAATTAAGTTTCTTAAAAAACAAAAAATCTAATTTTATTTAATTAAAAACTAATTAAATTATTTTAAGAATCTACGGTTTACAAATATAAAAAAATAAATCATGTACAATTAATTATATAAATTACAACTTTAAAAGCACCTTATTTCATTCAGGATTAAATGAAATGGCAATATTAAATAAAACACTTTAACTACATTTAACTTAACATTTACATGAATTATTGAATAAAAAGTCATTTCCATCCATCCATCCATCCATCCATCCATCCATCCACCCATCCATCCATCCACCCACCCACCCACCCACCCACTCATCCATCCATCCATCCATCCATCCACCCACCCACCCACCCACCCACCCACCCACTCATCCATCCATCCATCCATCCATCCATCCATCCATCCATCCACCCACCCATTCATCCAATCCATCCATCCATCCATCCATCCATCCATCCATCCATCCATCCATCCACCCACCCACTCATCCATCCATCCATCCATCCATCCATCCATCCATCCATCCATCCATCCACCCACTCATCTATCCATCCATCCATCCATCCACCCACCCACCCACCCATCCATCCATCCATCCATCCACCCACCCACTCATCCATCCATCCATCCATTTTCATCCGCCTGTCCAGAGTCGGGTCGCGGGGGCAGCATCCTAAGGCGAGAGGCCCAGACTTCCCTCTCCCCAGCCACTTGGGCCAGCTCCTCCGGGGGAATCCCAAGGTGTTCCCTGGCCAGGTGAGAGACATAGTCCCTCCACCGTGTCCTGGGTCTACCTTTAGGTCTCCTCCCGGTTGGACGTGCCCGGAAAACCTCACAGGGAGGCGTCCAGGAGGCATCCTGACCAGATGCCCGAGCCACCTCAACTGGCTCCTCTCGATGTTGATGTAGTCATTTTAGTTTATTTAAATAAATGTAGCTTTCAATCCAATTAATCACAGATTAAAATCACAAGTTTTTAACCAAATTTTCATTTGAATTATTTAAAAAAATAATGTTTAAATTAAAAATGTGACTGAATATAAGAAATAAAGACAGTTTATTAACATGGAAAAAAAGCAAATTTTTATTTCATTGATTTCAAAATTAAATTAAATAAAAAATCATTTGAATTTTATGTCATTTCCATTTAAGCTTAATGAACTACTTTTGAACTGAATTTATAAATCTGAAAACATCCTGAATGATTCGACTCTGAAGATGAAACAAAGAAATATGAATAAATGAACAGAATATTTGGTTTCTATTGATGTTATTAACCCTCTAACAGGTCTTAGACTACAGGTAACATCATGAAAAAGCACGTTTCTATCTGGCTCTGCTCATTTGTTGCATAAAGGAGGTTGATTTGCTGCTTCGTGTTCTTATCTCACCGTTTAGACAGTTGCTGCCGTCAGAAACAACAATTACACACAACATTGAGAATAACCAGAATAAAGAGTCTTTTTCAGTCTTAAAAGCTTTCATTTCAAATGCTGATTTGTTACTAAGCAAACTCGCCTGTGAGACTTTAGGATGGCAACACTTGGCTTCAGATAAAAAATGAAAAGTTGTTTTGATTTTCCATTCAATACGAAGTCAGAAAGATTTTAAGGCTGAATATCAGAACAAACTGAGAGAAAAGAGAGAATTTGTTTTAAAACCAGAAGAGCAGCAGAACCGTTTCTACCTTTCACACCACAGACACACAAACACGGTTCACCGTACTGAAGCGCTCCCTCCACAGATGCCTCTCTACACCTAATGGACTATGTAAATGAGTCTAGGACAGGTTTTAATAACATTTACATGGAAATGACTGCTGGATTCTGGAGGACATGAGCGTAGACGTGAGAGAATAAAAGCAGGAAAAACAGGGAGGGGAGACGGACGAGGAGGAAAAAGCGATAAAACAGGTGGCACAACAGGTGGTACATACTGCCAGGTGAGTCCCGGGGGCGTGGCGAGGGTGGCTCCGCTATCAGACAGCACATACAAGAGGAGGTGGGCAGAAAATTAGCAGTGAGCATCAAAATAAGGGATAAAAGGAGGACAGTCACAGGAGACATGAGAGGAGATGAGAGCTGCAGGCTGACGACTTTCTGGATTTTTAGTTCTGAGAGTATGTTGATACAGTTGTGTCTAAAATGTTGTTGCTAAGCACGTTGCCATGGTAACGCTGAACAATATCAAGTTAATACAAGACTCCTGGGACCAAGGGTGCTTTACAGCATTCAAACAATTAAATAACTACAATTAAAATAGTATTCCCACATGATCTGTTTCAGTACTGCGCCAGTGGCTGCAGCCGTAGGCCTCGGCTCCAGCTGGGTTTGGGGAACGAGGAACCTATCAAATATGGCGGTGACACTGTTACGCTCGCCAACGCCCAAATGTCGCGTGTATGTATTCAAGCCTATGATCACCACCGTTTTGGCAGTGAGTGACGTCACTGACTGGAGCCAAAATGCGTTGACGGACATTATAACATTAAAGATGGTTTATTCAGTCAAAATACGCCGTGATTTAATCCATTCAGGGGTCGGGTGGCGGATGTGTGACATAAAAAGGGGCATTAGAAGAAGTGTTGTTTTACATGAAGCTCTGTGGGAGACCACAGAACGTTGACATTTATGAATTTCTGGGTAATTTCTACCACATTTGTCAACTTTGGTAATTTACAAACACTAGACGTGCTTCTGCACATGTATGATGACAGCTATGGTGTTTCAGAAAACTAAAGGCAGAATCAGTGCAGCCCGAGATCTTCAGAGAGAGCAGAGGAGGCTGAGAGGTCAAAGGGCAACATAAATGTCAGGACAAGCATGTTCAGAATCTGTGGGTCAAATTAGGGTGACAGAGAGAGACAGACAAACCACCAGAACAGAACAACGACAAAGCTAATCAGACGGGTGGAACAATCCAGAAACACAGAAACAACAACCAGAAAATAACAAATAAAAATCATTGCAACAAGACGTCGACACGCTGCAGGCGAGGGCAAACGGTCCGAGTCACAAACACGTCATATATCAGTGGAGCCCATTTTCATCTTCAAGTTAACAAAATAATAATAATTATTATTATTATAAATACACTGATAGTCCAATAAATGAAAAGTTTAATAAAAAAGTAAAACTCATTCTGTCAATCCGTGGTTTCTCTCGAGGGGGGGGGGGGGGGGATTCGACAACACAACAGCTGGATCTCTTTCATTATTTTATTTAATAAAATGTTATTTATAAGTTTAACTATTTATCGTGTAAATATATACATCGCCTCTGTCAGTGCGCCCCAGGGCAGCTGTGGCTACATCGTAGCTCATCACCACCAGTGAGTGAATGTGTGTGTGAATGGATGAATGATGCACTGTAGTGTAGAGCGCTCTGGAGTCCTTACTCTGAGAGGACGGGTCATTGTCATCATCATATTTTATTTTAAAAAATAGTGAAATATCAGAAAAATCTCCATTTTTGACATTTACAAATGATTGGTTGCTGTTAAACTTTGAACATTTTTTATACTTTCTAGTTTTCTAGATTTTATTTCTGTTCGTAAAAAATATAAAGTTTTGTTTTTGCTATGAATTTTGTTGAAAAGGTTTCTGGTTCAAACGTCAAATCAAGTCTTAAATATGTGAACAAATACAATTAAAATCAATCAAATTAAAGTCAGTTATTTTGCTGAATGGAGAGAAAACAGAACTAGAAGCATTTAAAATCAATTAAAGATTTATTTATTAATCCTAATGGATCATCTGTTAACATGAGTATTTCATATTTGACGTTACACACGCTGGCTGTTAACACCTATATGATGCAAAGATAAAAGCTTTTATTTCAGGTCTTTTGTGCTGAAACATCTGTTTTCTGATGTTATTTGAAGCTTGACCTCCTGACCTCTAGCTCCATATTGAAAGCATCAGTGTAACAGGCTGGTGAACGCTGGGTTAAACGACACTTTCAGGCACATCTGCTCCTGGATTTTCATTAATAATAAACTAAATAATCTCTAAATTTATGCTTCAAAAGTCCAGGTCAGTCACTAAAATCGAGTTATTTTCGGTCATGATGACATTTTATTATGGGATTAGCAGCTAACCTGCCTGCTGTCCCTCTGTCTGAGCACATCTCTACTCTGAAGCTTGTCTCCGGTGGACCGGAGCTGTCGGAGCGGGTTAGGTCGGGGTCAGCGATGAGCTGATGGGAGCTGACAGAAAGGCTGCTCTCACTCACGGACTCCCATCAGCCCTTTCCAGTCCTGTCCAGCGTCTCCGACCTCTGCTGCTGGTTCTAGGACCACCGTTCTGTCGCCACCACAGGCTGAAATCTTTCCTCTCAGCGGTCACAAAGAAAACATGGATCGTGAGGATCTTACGTAGTACTCGGCGTTGAGTCGGGGCAGCGACGCCGCTCTGCCGTGACCCTCCAGGCACGGATATCCCTCGGAGTCGGACATATTGTCCACCTGCTTCTGCTCCACCTGTTCCTAAAGCAGACAGGGAAGTGAGTTGATATAAGACGTGTCGTAACAACATTAAATATACACGGGTGTTGTGGTTGTGGACCTGTGGTCTGATGGAGTACTGCACATCCTCCGACTGGCCTCTCTGCAGCCTCCTACGGGTTTTGGGTCTCTGCGCTGCCTGAGAAACGTCTCCAGACTGGGAATGTTTCATGTTGCTCCTCTTGCTTAATCTGCATCAACACACAAGGTGATTGTTCTGCTTTTTCTCTGAAACTGATCACAAACTATTAAGGAGAGTTGAACTAAAAGGTTTCATGGAGCAGAAGGTGCTTTAAAGTTGTGAATCAGCCTCTGGATGGATCTGATGAGTAAACGTGGTTTAAAGGACACCTAGGACCATCTGATGATGGTCACGAGGACCTTTTCTTTCCTCTAAAGACATTTAAACAAAAACATAGTTTGTAAAACAAACATTTTAAGTGGCTGAAATGAGTTTCCTCTGGAGGGTGCCTGGGCTCAGCCGGAGATAAGGTGAGGAGCTCGGACAGTCGGGAGGGACTTGGGAGTAGAGCCGTAGCTGCCCCGGATCGAGAGGAGCCAGCTATGGTGGTCTGGGCATCTTGTTAGGATGCTGCCTGAAGGCCTTCCTGGGGAGGTGCATCGGGCATGTCCTGCAGGCAGGAGGCCCCCGGGTCCACCAAGGATGCGTTGGAGCAAGTACATCTAAATTCTGGCCTGGGAACGCCTGGGGGTCCTGCTGGAGGAGCTGGCCGGGGGGACGGCTGTCTGGGATGCCCTACTTGAGATGCTACCCCCCAACCCCGACCCAGACCCGGATAAATGGAGGAAAACAGATGAACGCACTTTTTAAGCATAGAAGTGATCTGAAAGCAACTGAATTTGTGGACCTCTTACATCATTTCTCCGTTGGAGGAAGCGTTGATGGGCGGGGCTTCTGGTTCTAGTGGGATGGCCTGTTTGGGGCTGATGACTGGCGGCTCGACATCATGGATGTGACTGAAGGGCAGCATGGGACGGAACAGCGCTCCCAGTTTACTCTGTAGGACAAAACAACAACAATCATCACAAATATTCAATAATTCACTCATTCTGTCAACAAGACTACAGATGAACTGTTTCCTTCGGGTGAAACTGAAAACATGAGAAGCTGGCGCTAAAGTTCATTTGTGTCAGTAATCCAGCGGAGACTGAGAGACCCTCTAAAGGCTCAAGAACCCTCTGTAGGTGTTCTGGACTCATTAGCCCCTCCTGGTGGAGGGGTTTGAGTGTCCCAGTGGTCCTCTGAGGCTTTGCGCCTCTGGTAGGGTCACCCATGGCAAACAGGTTTTAGGTGAGGGATCGGACAACGAGCAGCCCTGAGACCCCTTAAGATGATCATCATATATGGAAACAGCGCTCCCTCACCTGGACACGGGTCGCCGTGACACTTTGAGTCTGGATTATTGAACCTTTTCCTAATATTCTAATAATGTGGGGTTTTCAACTGTAATCCACAATTAAAACAAAGAAAGGCTTGAAATATCTGGCTTTGCATGGAATGAGTCTGTCACATGTGCTAGTTTGACCTTTTAAGTTGAACTTCTTTGTATTTAATCTGTTTTTATGTTCATTCAAACATAATTTTAAACGGTTTAATCTGTTCCACACAGCTGAGTCCAAGCCTCTTTGCTGTAGGATGGTTTGTATTTCCCCCTGGGTGTTTCTCATTAGTAGTAGGCCCACATAGACAATAAAAACATGCTGTAGTTTCAATTAAAACTGTCAACTAAAACCAAAACCTGTCAGTAGCAGAACCAGCCAATCAGAATGAAGAAGTTCTACAACCTGATGAGCTCCAGACGGGTTCTGCTGCTCTAGTTTCTTTGCTCGGTTCTGTTTGAAGAAGTCAAAGATCATATGAGCAGCGTAGACTTTCCCCACAGTCAGCTCGTTATCTGCGGAGGAGAGAGAAACACGTCACCCAGGTGACCACTAGATGGAGCCAGAGGAGCAACAGAACAAAGTTCATCTCATGAGAAGAGCACAACAGGTTACAAACCAGGAAGTTATTTAATAAAAGTTAATGTTTACTTTGTTAATGATAATCTGTGTGAAAAGCATAAAAAATATTTTAATACCCGAAAACATCCTCAGGTTAATACAGGTGATACAGCTGATCCTAACGAGATGCTTTGTTTTCAGGAACAAGAACTTTTAGGGAGCCCAAAACAGCAATATATCTAAAAACTTCTAATAAGTGTATTTATCAGGAGGAGAAACTCATTATAGGGCAAGTGGCCAGCTTTCTTTTCCTTTATTCACTTTAAATCTTCATTTGCAGCTTAAACTTGAGACTTTTTCTAGGCATTAGAAGAAGAAGAAGAAGAAGAAGAAGAAAAGATAATTTCTATTGCACCTCAAGATAAAAATCACGAGGCGCTTCACAAAAACAATCAATGTAAAAATATCAAAAACATTTAAGAAAATGATTAAAATATATTTCAAATGAGCAAAAAATAGACAATTGTGATAAAAAAATATATAAAGAGAGAGAGTTTGCACCGTGCTGTGAATTCACAGACTCAAATAATTGTCGAGATGAATCGTAAGCTTGGGACTTTGGCCGAGTTTCATTCATTGGCACAGAAGATGGATGCCATCAAGGAGAGAGTGGACGAATCAGCACGTATTAGGATGGATTAATGTCCATTACTGGGATTTTGAGAGGTTGAAGACCAACAAACTGTAAGACAGAGAGGAAATTATATCTGTCTGGCCCCAAAACAATTTCTAATCGGAATCTGGCGCCCTTGAGCCTGCAAGGCTCCAACGAAAACTCCCCCCTCAGAAGATATGTGGAATGTGCCGTCGCTATGGCATCTCAACTCTGTCTCCTTTCCCAGCCTGGGCGGGACTGCAGGAAGGCCACTGAAACGTTGCAGGGTCACTGCAGCCCTCCAACCCTCAATGCTCCTCCCCTATCCACACTGAGGTGACATGCGCTGCTTATCGTGGCTGCAGGAACTGAAGTGGGGATAGTCCCAACCCACCACCCCACCTAGTGGACACTTATGTTGTGTTGTCTGAAGTCTGTTGCATTTCTGTCTGAGGTGTTTTTTTGCAGAGCAAAGCTGCCCTCCTGCTGGAGGGTAACTCTGAAGTGCCTTTTTTCCCTCCACCTGAACCAATCCTCATGTAACCCTCTTATCTCTATTAAGGTAGCACGACTCAGGGTTGTGAATGACCACAGTCACCAGTTCTTGTCATGTGTCTTGCCCATGTATGTCTGATCTCTGAATTGTGTGTACTGAAAATCAAATTTCCCTCTGGGATTAATAAAGTATCTTTGATTGATTGAACAGGAAAGAGGGAAATCAGTGGATCCTGAGGAAGGTGGAATAGGTAAGAAGAGCAGAACATAAAAAAAAGGTTAAAAAATATATACTTTTATAAACATAAGAAGAAAAATTACAAATGTTATACAAATGGGAGAAAATAATAAATATATATATATATACAAACATATTAAAAATAAACAAAAGACAAGATTAAAAAGCCTTCAATAACAATGAAGAGTCGAACCTCCACATTAAGTTTCCTCTAAAGAGTTAAATATTGCTTAATTAAATTATTTAATATTAATTTACCAAGTATAATATGTAACCAAGCTGCTGAAAGTGAAGAAGACTTGAAACACATGACAGTAAGGGAGTGCATTAGATAGTTATTACGTTAAACCTGGATAAATAAACGCGTTCAGCGCTGCTCACATTTATGAGGCGTCACCAGCAGGTCGATGGTCTTCTGAGACAAGCTGGGCCAGACCCGGTTTAGCTCCCTCTTCAGGTCAGCGTCACACAAACGCTGCGCCAGGACGCCTGAGGGCCCACAAGAGCGTCACAACAACTCCACCTTGCTGTCACCCGCGCTCTCAGTCAGGCCGCAAGGAATTGTGGGTGCTGGAGTTTTAGTCTCTCACCAGATGCCAGTTTGATATCCAGGGCGGTTCGGATCAGAGCCATCAGCGTGGAAGTGAAGTGGACCGTGTTGTCGTCAGCGATCGGCATGTTCATCCTCACCAGTCGCTGAGAGGGAAGATCCAACAGAGTACTTTAATCTTTGCTCGTTGGGATGGAAAACATGCCCCAAACATTCGTTAGCCCAACACTTTCAAACCAAACAAGCCACATTCTAGTTAAAACGACAACTTTTTTCTCTATTTGAATGTAAAACATCATAAATTGGTCACAGAAACCGGCCAAAACAGGGAAAGGCAGCAAACCGGTTGGTTGTTTTCATTTAAAATAAAAAGGTTGCTTTATTTGGAAGAGTTAATGGCAGACATGATCAAGTATTTTCTCATTATAATTATAAGTGATAATGCAGCCGCTCTTTACACAAATTATTAATTTTTCCTGGATTCGCAAACATTACTGCTAATCTGCATCTGGCAGCATGCATGTGTGTAAAAACCATAATAAGAGAGTCTCAGGGGGAGACGGAGGTTGCAGACCCTCAGACCCAGGTGTAGAAAAGCCTTTGTTGGTGATTACAGCGGCTAGACGCCTCTTGTGTAGCGACACCGGGCGTCTGCACTGCTCTGGAGTGGTTCTGGCCCATCCTTCCACACAAACGTTCTTTTGGACTTCTTTTATGAACTTTGATCTTAAGTTCTCTCCATAGATGTTCTGCGGGATGTAGGTCAGGTGATTGGCTGGGCCATTCAAGCGGCTTCTTTAAAACCCCTTCCCTGTTTCCTCGGCCTAGGGGCAGCAGTATCTCAGCAGGTTGTCCAGTAATCGGAAGGTTGCAGGTTCAATCTCGACTCCCACCAGAGAATGCTGTTGTTGTGTCCTTGGGCAAGACACTTAACCCACGTTGCCTGCTGGTGGTGGTCGGAGGGACCGGTGGCGCCTGTGCTCAGCAGCCTCGCCTCTGTCAGTGCGCCCCAGGGCAGCTGTGGCTACATCGTAGCTCATCACCACCAGTGTGTGAATGTGAGAATGACTAATGGTGTGGTTTTCCCAGCTGTATAATATTTATCCATTTTACCTTCCATAACATGGAGGTTTGCTGCATTTCTCTGTTCTAAATATGTCAGTTGGACTAAATCAGCAGCCTGTTAGGTCACATCGAGCTCCTCACTTACAAATATCAGATCATCTTAGGCCAGGGGTGTCAAACTCATTTTAGCTCAGGGGCCACATTGAGGGAAATCTAGTCCCAGGTGGGCCGGACCGGTAAATTAAAAAAAAACCTCAGATTGTTTTCTTTGTTTTAATACAATCAATATAAAACAAAGCTGGAGCCTGAGGACAGTGTAGTACAAGTACAACACCTGAAGTGTCCTTGAAAATTTGAAAAAAAATAAATCAATAAATCAATAAATAAAAATAACATTCCTTAGTGATTCAAAGAGCTTACAGGCCACATGGCTAGATCAGTTCCATGCAGCACTTAAAGTATATTTTACTCATTTTACTTTACATCTTTTAGCTTTCACCAGCACATCAACATCAGAATTCACGTCCTGAGTGGCGGCCAACTTCAGGTTGTGATTCAAGTTCTTGTGTGAGCCTTGAGCGCAGCTTTGTTTTATTTATACTCGTTACAGAGGAATCTTGCTCACAAAGATAAGTTTATTTTCACTCTATTTTGTAAAGTATGAAAATAAAGTTTACACAACCATCTCGCGGGCCGGATTTAACCCGCTTGCGGGCCGGATTCGGCCCGCGGGCCGCATATTTGACACCCCTGTCTTAGGCGCTATATCAACAACCTGCAGTTCAATGTGCTGTTTGATGACAGTTTATTTCAGTTCATATTCATAATGATTGGCTTTGTAGAGAAAACCATATTTAAATAAATAAAATAAAACAAATACATTCAGACTCATGGTGCAATGAAGAAAACGGTGCAGATTCCAGATCAAAGCAGCAAATTTCGGAGCGCATGCGTTTGTTTGGATCAATGTTTTTTGACATTTTGATGTTAAACAAACATACAAAAATAACAAGAGATGCACAGATGCAAAGAAAAAACACATAAGAGTCTCCAGAGAAGCGCTTCTGCGTGCTAGTGTTTGCATTTTGTTTCAGGGCGAGAGGGAAAAGGACTTTAATGGACATGAAAACATGAGAGGGTGAAGAAATGATCGTTTCAAGCCCAGCCTGAGAAACGAGCATCAAAGTGAAAACTGGATGAATATCGGCAGCAAATACGCTCATGAGGACTCAGACAGGTTAGAAGGAAGCATGATCAATGGTGAAGGAGTGAGAGGGGGAAACAGAACACTGGAGTGCACCGCTGCTCGCTCTGTGTCTTTGTTTGTGTCTTTCTCTGTCGATTCACAATAAGCTGAGTTATATTTGGAGATGTGACCACGTCAGACCTGGGCATTTTAAACTGGGGCAAGGGCAGGCCAACTTCAGATCTGATTCAGTTCGACAGCTGTGTGCTCGCTGGAACGGCTCACATTAAGTCTGCATGTTAAGAGGTAAGCAGCAGACAGAAGGACTACCTGAGGGCTGCTGATATGTAAAAACTCCACTCCTACGTCACTAGAAGTCTCACAATCACAGGTTGGAAGGATCAGAGCCTCCTCACTCACATGCCAGAGCCTCCTCACACAGACTACAGCCTCCTCACACAGACTAGAGCCTCCTCACACAGGCCAGAGCCTCCTCACACACACCAGATCCTCCTCACACAGACCAGAGCCTCCTCACACAGACCAGAGCCTCCTCACACAGACCAGAGCCTCCTCACACAGACCAGAGCCTCCTCACACAGGCCAGAGCCTCCTCACACAGGCCAGAGCCTCCTCACACAGACTAGAGCCTCCTCACACAGACCAGAGCCTCCTCACACAGACCAGAGCCTCCTCACACAGACCAGAGCCTCCTCACACAGACCAGAGCCTCCTCACACAGACCAGAGCCTCCTCACACAGGCCAGAGCCTCCTCACACAGGCCAGAGCCTCCTCACACAGACTAGAGCCTCCTCACACAGACCAGAGCCTCCTCACACAGGCCAGAGCCTCCTCACACAGACCAGAGCCTCCTCACACAGACCAGAGCCTCCTCACACAGGCCAGAGCCTCCTCACACAGGCCAGAGCCTCCTCACACAGGCCAGAGCCTCCTCACACAGGCCAGAGCCTCCTCACACAGACCAGAGCCTCCTCACACAGGCAAGAACCTCCTCACACAGGCAAGAACCTCCTCACACAGGCCAGAGCCTCCTCACACAGGCCAGAGCCTCCTCACACAGGCCAGAGCCTCCTCACACAGGCCAGAGCCTCCTCACACAGGCCAGAGCCTCCTCACACAGACTACAGCCTCCTCACACAGGCCAGAGCCTCCTCACACAGACTACAGCCTCCTCACACAGGCCAGAGCCTCCTCACACAGACTACAGCCTCCTCACACAGACCAGAGCCTCCTCACACAGGCCAGAGCCTCCTCACACAGACTACAGCCTCCTCACACAGGCCAGAGCCTCCACACACAGACTACAGCCTCCTCACACAGATCAGAGCCTCCTCACTCAGAAGCCAGCATGTGGTTTCCCAGAAAAGTCCAGAATAAATACAGATATTTCAACATTTCGTTACCAAATTACTATCTTTCCTTTTAGTAATTGTAATTATTTTATCTAAGAAAAAGTGTTCTTGCTAAGCTTTGGAAAAAAAACATGAAAAAAATCCCAAACAACTCATGATTTAGACAAATCTTCTTGACCTACAGTGCAGAGGTCTAACTACGCACACCCCCATATAAACTTCCTGTTTTTGCCTCATTTTTCCCCATCTTGGATCTGTTGTTGATCTGTTGCAGAGCCTGACAGCAGATGAACCGACCCTGACATACAAAACCACAGAGCCTCACATACGGACAGAAGCAACATGACAGCAGCAGGCTGGGTGGGGCTGACCGCAGAAAACTGACATATGCCTGAAGATGTTTGGCAGGTGGAAAGCGGCGGCGATGGAAGGGTGGAGGAGAAGAGGAGTGATTCTACCTTATAGGCGATTCGGGGAGGACATTTCTTTCCCAAACCTAGCGGAGGAGACATGTCACGTAGCATCTCGTACATGTCACGGTAAGTTATGCGTCCACTTCCAGGGAGGGAAGGAAAGGGTCAAAGGAGGTCACGAAGGCAGGGAGAAAGATTCCCCAGAGATCAAAGGTGGGGTGGAGTGGGTGGGAGGGGTAAGGGATGTTAGCAAACAAGAAAATGGGGGAGGGGGGAAGACAGAAAACAGAAATCTTTGTTACTAAGATTTCCAGGATGTCACACTCTGGGATGCCATTACAGCGTGCTGATCCAGGAATGGATCCCAGAGGAGGAAATAAGGGAATGTGTAACCCAAGTTGTGATCAAGCTCATGTTGGAATTCTTTTAGTTTTTTGTTCTATTTTGTTTTTGGAAATTACTGCTTTACTATGTTACCGTTTCCTTGTTAGTGTTTTGGTAATTCCTTTTCCGACCTTTATTAAAGTTTTCATTTCAACACGGGATTCTCGCGATGTCACAAACTCTCGCGAGATTCTGACGTGCCATAAATATGGCGGCGTCCGCGTTGTTTGAGCGTACACATACACATGAGCAGAACGGCGTTCGGATGAGCGTGCCTTCCAGCGTTGGTAGCGGCAAGTAGGCGTTGTTTGAATCAGTGGCACGAACCTCACTGGTTAAGTTGTTAGCGTCGCACGTGTTTACCGTCCGAGGACGCGGGTGATTCGTGGGAATCTCCGCGGCGACAACCAGTGAGTGACACTTCTGTCAGCCACTGAGGATGCACGAGTGTTTGTTTGTTTTAGACTCATATAAATTTTTATGATTATAAAAGCATTTTGTTTGTGAATGTGGTCTTTAGTTAATTTGACTGCGTAAAGAAACATTTTGGATATTCAATGACCCAATAAGAAATTTTTAGCCCTTTTTCTTTGGGCCCTGGCGCTTCCCAAATCGGGGGCCTTTGGGGTTTCGCGTCCCAAGTGTCAGTGATGGTTTGCGTTCCCCGAGCACACACGTAAACAAAGTACTGTTTGGTTTCGGATGCATTAAGATAAAATATTACTTGAACTTTATTTTAGAAGAGCTGCCCTGTGTGAACGTGCTGACAGGATGGAGGTTGTGAGTTCAAATTCCATTTAGGAAATTTAGTCAGTTGTTTTATTTATTCCAGGGGTCCTCAACTACATTTGTTCAAGGGTTTGTTTCTCCAGCAGACACCAGAGAAGGTCAGATGCTCTTCTAAAATAAAGTTCAAATATCGTTGTATCTTAATTTATTACACTTTAAAATGGCCTTGTTTCCATCTGGGCTGTCTGGTTGTGGTTTGAGTTGTGTTTGGAGAATGTGGACAGTTGTAGATGTTTGGGACATGAAACTGTAGAGGCCCCCAGTCGCGGGGCTTTAGGGTTAAACAGGTGTTGGCCTGTGTTGTAGACGTGTGGCTCTGTTTATCAGGCCAGGTCCCGAGTGTGGAACTGCATGTGAAGACTTGTTTTTGGACGTATGCGTGTCATACCGATGGTGAGCCAGTAAGATGCTGATACTGGAGATGGAGACCAGCCAACCATCTTGTGCCTTAGGAGGAACATAGACTCGTATATTCACAACAGAGGAGCTCTGCTCTGTTTTTGCTGTTTTTGTTGAACTGTGAGTAAACGCTTAACTGAATCTAATCGCTGAAACTGGATTTTCGAATCTTTAAACGACACAGCTGTCAAATGTTGGTCATTCTGACTACTAAACTTTTTGAACCCTAGAAAGTGCACTGCTATATGTAAATATTTGTGTAAACATATGTGCATCAATGGTCTTCCCTTTGTAAGTTCTTGCTGAATAATATCACATGAGCTGAAATCTCATGTTTAAGTGTTTGCTTTGGCAACACACATCTCGTCTGTGAGTGAATCCTGACGTCTGGCGCCCGTAGATCTTTTCTTTTACTCCCACCATGTTGGGTAGAAGGTGCCGGGTAAAGGATAAATATTATCTGGGTTACAAATGTGCTCCAGATTTCCTTTTAAAAGATGGAAAATGGGAGAAACCTGGTGGGAAAATATGCATTCATTAATACCCGTTTTCTTTTAAAGGAGAATTCCCCGGAAAATGTGAGTGCCGTTTAGATTTAAACTTTAATCTTCCAGATTTGGGTGATGATGAGAAGTGGAGAGTATTTTAGAATGATCTTGAAATTTTGCAAACCTTTAAAACCATCTTTTAAGGTTTTTCAAAACTCAATTTTCAGAGGATTCTTCCTTTAAACGAGCCTTTAGCTTCACATGCTAAACGACAAAAGCAGTAACCAAAATGTAAACAAAGCACACAATGCTCCCTCCTCGTGACTCCTCTGGGTTTTGTTTTAAATAAACATTTGAGACATCCGATGCCTCGTGCTGGAGCCCGACTTGCTGCTTTGTTTCCTGAACTCGTCATGGTTACGTGCCAGCTGGTTGGTACAGGATCCATGAGCGTTTGTGTGCTCCAGTCATTCTCTGCCATTTTAGGACGAATGAGAACAGACATTCGTGGTCGACGACCGTCGGAAAGAAAAAGGACTGTGGGAGTGCAAACCTTATAAGCCACCCTGTTAGGGCACTTCTTCCCCAGGCCCAGGGGCGGCGAGATAAAACGCAATAATTTGTACATATCCCGATAGCATATCCTCCCACTGAAAGAGACGAGACATGTTGAAAGAGTTAGGTCACAGGTAGAGCTCCCTGTAAACATGATGGGTTAGCGTACACATTATTGTCTCTCATAAAGAAAACAACATCATGAACAACGTCTTTAAAAACAGTAAACCTCAGTCAAGATCAGTTCTTCATTCAGGAATCAAACTCACAGCCAATCAGACCAATCAGGTGTAAATGTGTCATTAAAAATGTTATGAAGACACATGATTGTAATTAAAATGTTCAAACAAAACCGGCTAATTGATGTCATCCATCGACGTAGACACAATTGTTTTATTCAGGGAGATCTTGCTAGCGTTCCAAAACGCCAGGCTGTTCCCCCACACGTGGACCCTTTTCCACTAGCGCCTACTCAGCTCAGGCTTACTCTACACAGGTCGGGTGGATTTCTGTTACAGCTGGCAAATGGCTCCATTGGGTTGGCGCATCCTAGCTGGTCAGGCAGAGTTCAGAAAGTAGTGAAATTTGTGATTTAAACGTGACACAAAAGTAGGGCTGAAATGGACCCTCGGATAGTTTGATTTAGGGCTGAACGATCGATCGTTTTTGGACCAAAATAGCTATTTCAAACAGCACGATCATGCGACCGTTAAAGATGCGGTTTTAGCGTTTTTGACTGATGCAGGATCAGTTGTGTAACTTTTTTATACATCCGGGGTTTTCCCTGTGTGTTATGGCGGCGGCAAAAGCCAGCGTGGGGGAGGGGGAAAAGGGTGGGGTGTACCGTCCAGAGCCGAGCCCAGCTCCACAGCTGTCAGAGCTGCATGTTCAGGTTATTTCCCTGTTTAATGTCTCCACACACAGCGCTGCTAGAGCCGATAGTAATGCACCGTAGGTGAGCCCGGGACAGAGAGAGAGAGAGAACGTAGTTGAGTAAGGGAGAGAGAGAGACTCCTCCCGCATCAGCAGGTTCAGGCTGGTTTCTAAAGCTTTATGCTTCATCAGTGCGAGAGCGGAGTCGCAAACTTTAGTTGACTTGAAAGCTCAACTTGTCTTTTAAAAATGGTTTGAATGTTTCTGATGGCACGTTAGTTCAGACAAGCTAAGGTGTCAGGATGCGTGCGTCTCTCTCACGGAGCTGACGTTAGTGAGGAAAAGCTACCAGACGGCTTCAGCCTGCCTTATGCAGGAAAACTGTGCATTTTGTTATTTAATACAGTTAAAAGCTGTTTCTACCTACAGATTTCCTCCATCCAAAGGGTGGCTTGCCAACTCCGGGTCGGGAGAGAGGTCCTACCTCAAGTGGAGGAGTTTAAGTATCTCGGGGTCTTGTTCACGAGTGAGGGTAGGAGGGATCGGGAGATCGACAGGCGGATTGGTTCGGCGTCTGCAGTGATGCGGACGCTGAGCCGATCTGTCGTGGTGAAGAGGGAGCTGAGCCAGAAAGCCAGGCTCTCGATTTACCGGTCGATCTACGTCCCAATCCTCACCTATGGTCATGAGCTTTGGGTAATGACCGAAAGAACGAGATCGCGGATACAAGCGGCCGAAATGAGTTTCCTCCGTAGGGTGGCCGGGCTCAGCCTTAGAGATAGGGTGAGGAGCTCGGACATTCGGGCAGGACTCGGAGTAGAACCGCTGCTCCTCCGGATCGAAAGGAGCCAGTTGAGGTGATTTGGGCAGGAAAACGGAGAAACCAGCAAAGACACAAACCATTTTAAAAGGCAGAACCGCTCCAAAGTTTAAATTAAAAAATAACATCCGTATATCGCCCAGCCCTGCCTGTAACCACATCGAAGTTAGCAGTATAAAAGGGGACACAGCCTGGTACCCGTTATTGGTGGAAACACTTTGGAAATAAGTTAAACCAAGCCGAGCCACGATGAGTGGGTCCTGGTAGAAAAGGGCCAATGGTGTACCAAAAAGGGAACGTAACGTGAGCGACTGAATGATGAAGAGTTTGAACACAGCCTGAGAGTTAAGCAGTGATCATGTTAAGTGTAAAAAATCACAAGAACTAAACTTCTTCAGCTCTTTACCCTGTTTTCTTTTTTCTTCTGTTATATCCAGCTGTGAAGCACTAATCTGCTGAAATCCCTTGAAGCAGTTTTTTGTTTCTTTTAGCTTAAAAATAAACAAATAGGCACAAAACCTCCATAAATATTGGAGGAAATCTCCCAACTCCTCATGAATGACATCCTGTTCTAAAAGGTGGTTTTCTGTTTTCACTGTGCGACGTTTTCTAAAACCCTCAGTGAGCCTTAAGCACACCGACAGTTTGACATAATGAGTCTGACAGTTAAACAGCTGAGAAAAAAGGCTGAATTTTACCCCTGAGAGCAGCTCATTTATATTCAGAGGAATAAATGATAAATCCTCCTCCGTGATGTCTGTCAGGTGACGGGGACTTCTTAATTCATTTATCACGCCTTGGTTGGAGTCCTGACTCGGTGACAAGACTCCGGAGAAGTCTACGTTAAACTTAACGAGCCTCGCATAATCTGAGAGATTATGCTTCACTGCATTTAATTCAAAGCTCACATTTTCATTTAGCCGCAGAAACTGTTAACTGGGTTAAAAGAAAAGAATTAGCCTGATATTAACCTGATTTTTCCGATCTGAGTGATAGAAACTGTCAGAGAAAAGGCCAGAATGGACATCATGTGAAACTAAATTTACACGCATCCGCTGAGTCAATGGGTGATGGGTGGGAGGTCTCATCAGCAGCCTCAGCCAACTCGTTTGGCTCAAAGCCACTCATCCATTGGAGCTTAGATTTTATAGTCATTCTGAGAGATCGTAGAAATCAATGTGGGAGTTTCCTGTTTCCTGCCTTGCTTTAAAAAGCAAACCTCCTCAGTAACAGACCATAACAGGAGCTAAGGAGACACCTACCAGGCAGCGGGGTCATATTCTGCCCACACACGGATGAATTCATCAAGGTGGTGAGGTCCGAGGATGGAGGCGTCCCGTGTTAGATACTCAAAGTTGTCCATTATGACAGCAACAAAAAGATTCAACATCTGGGAGATGAAATCAAAAAGTCTAAATTAAAATTTTTTTACTTTTATCAGAGTGAAATGACAAATTTCTACGTGTAATATCAAATTAGATTATCAGTTTGTGTAGTTTGTTCACTACATCAAATCTGAGGTCCAAATGTTACAAAATGGCCAAGTTATAGCCATTAGCTACCTATCTAGGTTAGCTGAAGTCTAGATTAGTTGGAACCTAAATAAATGACCTGAGGAATTGCTGGATTAGCTGAGAACTAAAATAGCTTTGAGCTAGCTCAACACTAGCTTAATTGGACCAGACAGAAAGACAAGCAGACTCACGAAGACGATGAAAATGTCTAATCAAACATGAGAGAATGTATGAATTTACACGAGGTTGATGGAGCCAGCCATGTTTTATGAACTGATAGAAATTCTGAAAACAAAATCTGCTGAGTCACTGTTATAATTGAGAGGAACCCATGAAACAAGTCCTGCTAAAGTGCACGGCTCAAACAGCTGACGCACAAAAATTTGGAAGCAAAACTACAAAATATGATGCATTTAGACTGGTTTAGATCGTATTTTTCTAACAGAAGTTACAGTGTCTGTATAAACCAAATCAAGTCAGATTCTACTGATCTGTTCTGTGGGGTACCCCAAGGCTGTGTTTTGGGTCCACTGTTGTTTATACTGTACACACACCCTCTTGGACAGATACTTGATTCTTTTCATAATGTCTATTATCACCTATATGCAGATGATGTTCAGCTGTACTGCTCCTTTAAGGAGTCTGAGTTCTACAAACTGTCTGAATTACTAGAGTGTCTATCAGCTATCTCCAGCTGGCTAGAAGATAACTTCCTTCAGTTAAACTCTGAAACGACAGAATGTCTGATCATTGCCCCTGAGAGCATGGTTCCCCTGATTAGTCTAAAACTTGGTCATTTATCCTCTGCCCTCAAGACAAATTTGAGGAATTTGTGTTGTTTTTAATCAGTGTCTCTTGAAGGTCACTCAAAAACGTTGGTCCGAAACGGTTTTTATCATTTAAGAAATATCTCCAAACTGTGAAGGTTGGTGTCAAAACATGAACTAGAAATGGTTCTCCATGCCTTTATCTCCTCCCGTCTAGATTACTGTAACACACTCTTCACATGTTGTAACAAAAAAGCCCCTGACCTCCTTCAGTTGGTCCAGAACTCTGCAGCGAGGCTCCTAACTGGAGCAAATAGAAGAGCTCACATCACTCCTATTCTGGTGCCTCTGCACTGGTTACCCGTTAACTAAGCCGATCACAGAATACCTCTCACAAAACTGTCTGCTTGACCCTTACCAATCTGGATTCAAAAAGGGCCACTCCACTGAAACTGCTCTGTTAGCAGTGACTGAATCCTTAAAAGAAGCTAGAGCGACAGGCAAATCCTCAGTGCTTATCCTGCTCGACTTATCAGCAGCATTTGACACTGTCAATCATGGCTTCCTTTTGTCCACACTCTCTAGCATGGGCATCACAGGGAAAGCACACGCCTGGTTTAAATCGTACCTCACAGGACGATCATTCAGTGCATCTTGGCTTGGACAATCCTCTACCGTGCACCATCTTGCCAAAGGAGTCCCCCAGGGCTCAATACTAGGACCTCTTCTCTTCGCCATATACACCACCTCACTGGGTGAAATCATTCGATCACATGGCTTCTCCTACCCCTGCTATGCAGACGACACCCAGGTCTATCTGTCATTTCCACCGGACGACCACACTGTCTCTGCACGAATATCAAACTGTCTCTCTGACATATCAAAATGGATTAAATCCCACCATCTCCAACTCAACCTCTCTAAAACTGAACTACTTGTCATCCCAGCAAAACCATCCATACAGCACAATATCTCAATCCAGAATGACTTCCTATCTCTGGCTCCTTCAAAGGCTGTTCGAAATCTGGGTGTTGTGATTGATGAACACCTGAGCTTTAAAGATCACGTTGCCTCTGTTGCTCGTTCATGCCGCTTTGCGCTGTACAACATACGAAAAATCAGACCATACCTAACACAACATGCCACCCAGCTCCTGGTGCAATCTACTGTCATCTCCCGCCTCGATTACAATGCCCTTCTAACTGCTCTTCCAGGCTGTACTGTGAGACCTCTTCAAATGGTCCAGAACGCAGCGGCACGTCTGGTCTTCAATCAGCCTAAAAGAGCACACGTCACCCCTCTGTTCATTGAGCTCCACTGGCTACCGCTAGCAGCACGCATCAAATTCAAATTGCTAACACTAGCAAACAAAGTCCGAGATGGTACGGCTCCCATCTACCTGAATCCTCTTGCAAAGGCTTACGTCTCGGCCCGGCCGCTCCGGTCATCACAAGATTGTCGGCTAGCAGTGCCTACACCACGCTCAGGACAATCCAGACTCTTCTCATGCATCGTTCCACAAATGTGGAATGACCTTCCAAGCCCTACCACAACAGCGGCTTCCTTTTCAATTTTCAAGAAACTCCTGAAGACCCTGCTCTTCAGAGAGCATCTTCTAAACTAGCACCCTCCCTGCACCCGTCCCCCCTCTCTACTGTCCACTCCTTGTTCCCTCCTCTCCATGACTGATGTCAATGTTGTTGTTGTTATTGTTGTTGTTAGCCTCAAGGGCAACATGCCGATTATCACTTGTAAGTTGCTTTGGACAAAAGCGTCTGCTAAATACATAAACATAAAAACATTCAGGCAACTTATTTGTTAATTAGTTAAGGGAAAACTAGTAAATACACCTGAAAACAATCCTTACCTTTTGCATGCTTTTAATTGAGTGTTTAAACAAGAGAGGAAAGTGTGAAAATGTTCATCCCTGTCTGAGAAAAGTGCATAAAGTGTGTAGTCAGGGTTTTTACAGCCTTAAAACATCTATAATGATCATAAAAAATAAAGCCGGCTACTTTGCGGATTTCGCCGTATGTAGGTTATTTTTAGAACATAACTCCCACGATCAACAAGAGACCACCGTTTTCTTTTACAAGCCATTCAAAATGTTTTTAAAAACAGTTTTTTAGTAGCCTTTTTCTATGTAACAAATTCCAAACTGCTAGTGTAAATGTCTGAAATGATCTGAACATCAGTGTGGACCCAGAGAGGAGACCCTCTGAACTCCTGGAGGAGATACTGACCAGGAAGGAGCAGAGAAAGATGAAGGAGACAAAGTAGAAGTAGGCAAAATCGCTTCCACACTCCTTCCCTGAAGTTCCTGAGAGTTTGTCGCACGGCCGGTTACTGAGGCAAGCTAACATGATCTCATGCCACGCTTCGCCCGTCGCACTCCTGATAAAACGCAGAAGCAGAGGTGATTTCACAGAGGAAGTCTTCTCTTGAGCGCCGTAACTGAGCACATGGAGTGAGATTACCTGAACAGAAGGGTTAAGGCCTGGAAGAAGGTCTGAAAGTTGTTGTGGTGATTGATGGCGGTTTCCTCGTTCAACTTGATGTTACCAAACACCTGTGAACAGGTGAGGAGACAAAACGAGTCTGGACGCATTTATAAAGACACAATTATTTTAATAATGATAAAAAAGAGCACACAATTAACACTAAGGAGTGTGAACGTTTCTAAAACAGAAGCAAAACATAAAGAAACCAGACATGAACCGAATTTTTAGTCATCTCATTTGAGGGCCATTCTTTTCAAACCAAATCATAATCTGCATACTTCTGCTGCCTTTGCTTTCTCCCCCCTAAACCTTAATTCCTGTGTGACCAGCCTCGGGGTTAAACTGGATGTCGACTTATCAATGAGTGCACATGTAAATGCCACTGTTCGATCCTGCTTCTTCCAGCTTCGTCGCCTCTCCCGACTAAAGCCCATTCTTAGGAGGCCACTCTTAGAATCAGTGATTCATGCATTTATCACTTCCAGACTCGATTTTTCCAACTCGGCTCTAATTGGTGTAAATGTGTCTGTCCTAAATCGTCTGCAGAAAGTCCAGAATGCTGCAGCCAGATTTCTCTCCAATACAAATAAACGCTGCCACATCACTCCCATTCTGGCGGAGCTACACTGGATTCCTGTGCAATTTCAAATTCAACACAAAGTTTTAACTTTTACTTACAAAGCCATGAATGGTCTAGCCCCCTTATACATCTCTGAGCTGCTCACCCCCTACATCCCCCCCGGTCACTAAGGTCTGCTGATCATCTATTGCTCATAGTCCCTAAAATTAGGTATAAAGCTCGTGGGGAGCGTGCATTCGCCTTTGCTGCACCCAGACTTTGGAACGTGCACCCTCTGGTGGTACGCCAGGCTTCTTCACTGGCACAGTTTAAAACCAGCCTGAAGACACATTTTTTTAATTTGGCTTTTGGTCAATGATCGGTCTTTTATGCTGTGGCTCTCTTCTGTTTTACTGACTTCTGTTTTTATTGACTTCTATTTTATGGGCTGTTTTATACTTTTGTACTGTTTTTAGGTGTTTCTATTTTATGACAGCTTTTATCTGTGTTTAATGTGTATGTATGTGTATTCTGAATGGTTTTTTAGGTTTAACTCTGTGCAGTGCTTTGGTCAGCGGACATGCTGTTTTTAAATGTGCTATATAAATAAAATTGGATTGGATTGGAGATACGAAGGCCTAATTCATCACTTTGTGAATGAGAAACTACAGCTCCATGAGCCAGGTGTGTAAATCCTCGGTCCTCAAAGCAGCATGTTTTAGTTGCTTCTCTGTTTCACCTGATTTAATCAGCAGGTGATTAACAGGTGATTCAACCTGAATCAGGTGTGTTGGCGGGGAAACAAGTACAACATTCAGGCTAGGGGCCCTCCAGGACCCGGGTTGACGGCTCCTGCCATAAACGTTTAAAAACTTTCTTCTGGTCCAAACGCCAGGACTCACCTGCATCCCGATGATGGCGTAGATAAAGAACAACATGGCGATTAGCAGGCAGACATACGGCAGCGCCTGGAAACAAACAGAAACATCGATGTCTTGTAAACATGGAGCTGCTTTAAGGATTTCATCCTTTTGTTCAGGAACCCGACTTGACCGTCGGGGTCTTTGATCCAGTTATTTATGAAGCAGCGGCGAGGAAGAGCGGGAGTTTGTTGCAATTAAATAGCCGCCTTTTAGACTCGGCAGTTACTGTCCATTTATCCTGGGCTTAAAGCTCTCACCGCTGACATTAAACCTGCTGCGACCCCGGCACTCCACGTATAACTCAACCTGTCCCGGGGGATTTAGGGAGCCAAGCGGAGCTGCGTGAAAATCCCAACTGCTGCCTGCTGAAAGCCTTTTACTCGGGTTTTAAGAGCCACAGAGGGATCCAGCAGCTGGCTTCCAGCCTCCGCTGCACTAGCTGTGTTTAACGAGACGGTCTGCACAGACACTGGCCTCTCTCCGAGTGATTTAATTACTTGCATTTCCACATCGGCCTCCAAAACAAACAAGAGCGTAGTTCATTCGTTCATGATTCATACTCCTACATATAGGTGTGACGGTTTAGTTTTGGCCACAGCTGCACAGATCACTCCTTTGGGAAACAAAAACAGTCAGTTTTCCAAGATTTCATAAAAATTAGGGTCACAATGAAGCTCTTCTTAAAGGGACTTTACGGAGTTTTGAATTTTTATGCTCGCGATCGCCCCCTCAGGCCAAAAGCGTAAAGGCAGCTTCAATAGTAGGCTCGTGCACGAGGTGCGCATGCTGTACGTGCACACTCCTTAACAACAATAACAGCTGAGACAGACCCGTGTGTGTGTGTGTGTGTGTGTGTGTGGCCCGGAGGACAGGAGAACGCCCAGCTAATTAATTAAATAATGTGGTTCTGTACCTTTCTCTTCAGCACAGCCGACAAAGGTTTATGATGGGTCAGTCCTCCTGCATGCTCAGATCATTCCCTTCCCTTGCTTGAAAAATTGTTCCAAAATGAAAGTTGAACCCACATCTTTTTTATCTGTGAATTCAATGCCGTTCGGCAAGTCTCAAATACAAATTTGGGCATCTTACTGTAAAAAATATACCATTATTGTAAAAAAAGAAACTCTAAATAAACTATGTTCACATCCAGAATCGAACCCAGATCTTCTGCATGAGAGTCAGACATCTTACAAGGTGAGCTACACTCTAGTAACATTCACAGTATCTGTAACATTTATATCCTTGATGACAGCTGAAACGACGTCAAACCAAAGAACGGTTCGGAGTGAAAATGGCTATTTTGTTGCTAATTTGCAGGAAATATCTAGAAGAAAGTTCTACAGAAAGTAGCTAAGGGTCCTCAGAAATGTAGCTAGCTTTGTCACTAGGCGTTAGGAACAGCGACAAAGTGGCACTGCCTCTCTCTCTGCTGCTAAAGCTACGGATAGCAAATGCTACGGGCGATGCCTGAGCGTGAACGCGCATGAAGCAGCCTGCTCGACCCGAGCATCTCTCTTTTTCTGTGATTTTACAGAAAAACAGGCAATCACAGTAAAAATGCCAGGGCTCATTCTACAGGACCAGGGCATTGCAGGAGAATGTATGAAGAAGACATTTATTATTTCTATACATGTTTTGGCTGTCAGACTTCCATAATGGCCCTTTAAAAATGGATAACAGTTAACAGATATGTTATTAATTGTTCTCTACACTCAATAAATAAGTGTTTAAAGGTTCGTTATGCATGAAATAAGTAAGAGGGACATCTTGTGGTCAAATCCAGGTACTGCAGTCCATTTTTATAAACAAAAGGACAATTTCTCAGCCTCATTTTTTAAGTCTCATGTCTGTTTTCAGTTACAGGTCAGCACCAGAAGATTCCAGAGGAATACAACAGTGTTTGGTTTTAGGAATTGTTTGCCTTAAGTGAGCAGCTTCAAAAGGTTCCTGTTTGTGATGTCACAAAAAGGAAAATTAGCATAACTCATGTCCAGGGAAGGCGGTTTAGCGTCCAGGGAACAGCAGACAACTTCTCGGCTAGTAGAAGCTAATGTTAGCATTAGCAATTCCACTACACAGCAGAACTCCTCCAGGATCGTGTTACTTGTGGAGATAAAACATCAAAGTTGCAGAGCAAACAGAGTGGTGGAGTCGCTGTGCTTTTAACCAATAAGAGGTGAGATGTCCACATATCAGGAAATAAGACTGTTGTCTTCTTCCTCCACTCCTCCCAGTAACTTGTACTTCCTGAAACAGAAGCGCTAGAGTCTTTTCCCACAGAGATCGACTCACAATGTGTTCATTTATATTAGAGACAACTGCGAGTGAACTAGGTCTTTAAGAGTTTTATTTGGACAGATACCGCGGTCCAGTCTGTCTTTGGGACATTACCTGTGGACATCAGAGAGAGTGAGAGATCTCTGTGATAGGAAGCTGTAACATTTTAAACTTTTTTCTTGTAAACCTTTAACTAATTAACTGCCATTGGTGACAAAAGTCATCATTTTATATCCAAACGTTCACTGCCAATGATTTGCATGTTTTTACTGTGTGGGCGTCGGACGAGCCCCCGCACCGTGAGAACGAACATCTCAGCTCTAAAGCCGATCTTCATCCGCATACGTCACACGTCACGTGACCAGGAAGCAGAACATCCATGTGTTAGGAGATCGTTTTGGGCCGCTGCTGTAAAAAAAGTGAGGCGCGAACCGGAAAAACTTCTGCCGATCACAATTCAACAACGGATTATGAAAGAACGGATAACGCTCGAAACGCGCGGATTCTTCCTGATGTAAGAGGTGAGTCTCCACTTTGTTTTGGTTGTTTTGGCGTCGACATCATCCTAGAGCGCAGCGTTCTGTGGCTCTTAAAAAAACAGTAAAAACGGTGAGAAACGCTGGCAGTGAATGAGTTAACATTAAATTTTAGCTCAGCTGAATATTTATCGACACTTTTCTTCTGAACAACACTGAGAAATCCGCCCTTAAATAATTCAGACCCACCTTGAAGGACTGAACGAACGTCCACAGCAGGATGCGGATAGTGTAGCCCTGTCGCAGCAGCTTAATGAGACGAGCCGCTCTGAACAGCCTCAAGAAACTCAGATTTATCATCTTGTTCTGAAAAATAAAAGATCTCTGTGAGGTTTTCAGATGAAACACATCTCTGTCTCCAGTTTGGACCAAAGTTTTGGCCTTTGGAGGCTCTTAAGTCTGGATTCGTCAAAAGTAATTAACAGGCACTTCCTTACGTAAGTAGGATTAAATATTCATCTCTGAATGAATTATTCCAGTTCTTTTACTGCAGCGCATTCTTTTAATTACTTCAGTCACAGGTCACAATGTGTGTGTGTGTGTGTGTGTGTGTGTGTGTGTGTGTGTGTGTGTGTGTGTGTGTGTTCGTGTGTGTGTGTGTGTGTGTGTGTGTGTGTGTGTGTGTGTGTGTGTGTGTGTGTGTGTGTGTGTGTGTGTGTGTGTGTGTGTGTGTGTGTGTGTGTGTGTGTGTGTGTGTGTGTGTGTGTGTGTGTGTGTGTGTGTGTGTGTCTGCCTGCTCTGTCTTCTTGATCCCCAGTGAGTCGTGGAGGATGGCTGCTTATACTGAGCCAGGATTCTCTGGAGGTTTCTTCCTGTTAAAAGGGAGTTTTCCTCTCCACTGTCACTGCATGCTTGCTTAGTATGAGGATTGCTGTATAGTCACTGACACTAGTCAGTGACTCAATGCAATTTGCTGGGTTCCTTATATAGGAAACATTATTTCTGATTGGCTTAATGAACTGACCTGAATTGGAATGTTTATTATGTGAAGTGCCTTGAGACGACTCTTGTCGTCATTTGGCGCTTTATAAATAAACTTGAATTGAATTGAATTAATTACTCTGGATGAACTAGTCTCCGTCGCAGCTCTCATTCATGTCTCTAGTATCATCTCACATGAAGGGTGTCGCAGACACTTTAAGCTACAACTGGAGGAGAAAACCTCACGTTCAGCAGGCAACAAGAAAAGCCACTTACCGTCTGGAGGTGTCAGATGTGACAGAGGAGGGAGAGTGAGGGCACAGGCGCCAGAAGATGATGGAAACAGCCAAACAGAAACAAAAACGGGACAGAAAGGAGACCAATGAAGAGAAAACAGCACACAGAAAGCTACAGGAGCTCGTTCATGTTAAAGACAGGAAGTAACAGAGAAGGGGCGGGAGTCGGCGTTTTTATCCGTGTACCTACGCCATGACATTCATATTTTTTAAATTCATTTCCTTTTTACATTTGTTTTTTATAATTCACTTTTTTCCTTATTTTGAGAAAGGTTTCTGGTTTAGGCTAACTGAGACTTAAATCCTGCCCGTTTAAACAAACCTGGACACTCACCTTATAAAGGCTTCATCCGGCTCCAGGGCACCCTTCATTTAGCTGCAACCTATCGGGTTGATTTTATTTAAATATAACGTAAATTTAAAAACGTCTAGGGTCGTTTTCTTTATCCTTCTGAGACCCAAGCTTTAAACACATTTCTGTGTGAAATACTGACGGGACCTGCGACAAAACTGAAAATGTTGGGGATGGTTCGGGACACATCTCAGGTACCGGAACGTCTCCCGATCTCTAGTCTATAAATCTCGTAACCCTCCCACTGCCCTAATGGGTGTGGCCCTGCGAGGAAAGATGACCATTGAGTAGGGTAGATGGTTTATCCCTTGAGGTCCATGTGGCGGGGGTGAGGAGTGAGCACCACCATCTACCCTACTCAATGGCCATCTTTCCTCGCAGGGTCACCCGTGAAGACAGTGGGAGGGTTAAAGGCGTGGGGCCAAAGTACGTGTCGGATATCCTTCAGATGTACACGCCCAGCACCACCAGCGCTGTGACTGCCACCCTTTTGACCGAGCCTTTTATCTGTTTGTCGAATCTGAAACGAATATCTACATTTCTTTGATTTACTGTGTTTGCTGTTCTTGCTTCTGTAAAACACTTTGCATTGCCTTTGTGTTGAAATGTGCCATCGAATTAAGGCTGCCTCGCTCGTGCACGTCTCAGTGCTGTCCAGCATCAGCCCCAGATATGGCAGCAATGGCACTCTTGTGTTTTATGATTAGTGTTTCAGTCATTTGTATGCTGTATTTTTATCCGACGTTAATAAATGCACCCTTATTGCACAGTGTTACTGTTTTCTCAGCAGCCTGGTAGAAGGGCGTCTGCCCTGGGGCTGGGAGGTCGGGGGTTCAAATCCCAGCCAAAAACTTTTAAAATAGGACCCCATACCTCCATGCTTGAAACTCAGCTTTAAGGGCTTTGATTGGGGGGTTAACCCACTAAATAGGTACTGAGAGAAGCCACTGCTGCAGCTCGCTGCTCCCTACGAGGATGGGTCGAATGCAGAGATGTCATTTCATCAGTGTGTGGTGACTAGTGGAACTTTAAATCACCGTATTTTTCATTATGAATGATCAAATCAACATGCTTACAAATTATCAGGAACTTTTACAACAACAACAACAATAATTTAAACTAGACTGGTGATATTTAGACATCTGCAGAAATAGTAAGAACCCCAGTGTAGACCAAGCCCCCACAATGCGGGACAGAAATTGAGTTCAATGCGGAAGTGAAATAAATGTCAGTTCCAGCCTCATCCACTAGGGGCTGGTGTCAGAAGCGAGCAAATCCTCATTGACTCCCATGTTAAAAATACCAATTTCACAGCAGAAATAAACATGTTTACAGCCTGGTACCAAAACATGTTTTTGGTTTAAATGATCTAGTTTACACTCATGACAACTCTGAGGGGGGTGAATGTTTTTCTCACTCTTCTGTTTAAGTGTATTAAAAGCCTAAAATTCTGTATAATTAATGAGCATCAGACCCACGTGACCACAGAGCTAGCTCCGTGGAAAGGCCTCAGTAGAGCCTCGGTCTGGCCTGGAAACTGCTCCGGGATTTTGAGTCTCTCTGTTTGTGTATTCTTGTTTGGATATTTTTTGTGCAATTGTTGGACAAAATGACTTGCTGTGGCATTAATTGCACTAATAGAGCGTCCAAGGAGTCTCCACTTCATTTTTTTCAGTAAGTAAAAGTATATTTATGTATTTTAGGTCACTGCCGAGCTGAGCTTAGATTTTAACATGTACTGTTTAACCATGAAATTTAAATGTAATAGGGTAAAACCCAGTGCATTTAACATAATGCTGCACTTTAGAAAATGGGTTGAAATATAACATGTTGGTGGAGCTGGGTTCTGACTATCGGCTTGTGGAGGTCTCGGGAGACCTCTGTGTTCCACCCGGTTCTCGCCTCCCCGCAGCTCGGCGCATCTCTGTCTGATCGAGGCTTCTGTCTGCTGCACTGGCTGACGGCTGGTTCTTATGGGAAGCCAGAACTGCCAAAATACGCCTCTTCTCCCCGCAGATCGGCACATCTCTGTCTGGTGCGCGGCTGCCGGCTTGTGGAGCTATGGGATAGAAACCTTTCCACCCGGTTCTCCCCAGCGGCAGCTCTGTGCATCTCAGATTGCAGCGGCGCCTGTCTGCTGCGCGGGCTGCCAGCTTTCAGCAGCTTTCGGGAGGCCTCTGTGTTCCACCCGGTTTTACCCAGCGGTCAGCCCGGCGTATCTCTGACTCAGAAGCTCTGGTGTTGTGCACAGTTAACTCCGGTTGTAGCTAGGTTGCTACCTCCGTTAGCTTAGCTCCCACCGCCGCGTTAGCTTTGGGTTAGCTTCAGGTTAGCTTGTAGGTGTCGTCAGTTGATCCCAGCCTTACAGCCCCACCCTCAGCTCCTCCTCTCTTTCCTTTTGTGGAATTGTCTGGGCTTGACGGAACCTGTGACACGGTCAAAATGGCGGTGGTGGCCACCTCCCGTTTAGCCTCAAAAACGTGTTATTGGAGCCTATGGAAACCCATTGTCCATGTATGTATACGTCGATGTTGTAGATACACTGTCTCCCTACACTGTGACCCTCTACAAAATCTCACATCTGAATAATTTTATTATACATAGTCAGTTTTGTATAAAATGGTCCAGTTAAAATAAAAAGTGTGCAGGTAATGGGGCTGAGATCTGACAGCTCTCTACACCAGGATCCTCTCTGAGTTTCATTAAAGGATTTTTGTTCTGATCTTCCTGATCGTCTTAAACTCCTCTTCCTTTTCTCGCTGCAACTAATCATCCACCATCAGTAGATCAGAGTAAAAAAAACCTAAAGAGGGATCCTGGATCAGCCTCATTTAGGTAAATTATCCTCCACTGATGTGGAGTTTTAACAGGTCTCGGATTCGCCAGCAGCTTTGCTTCATCTGCTCCTCTAGAGTGACGATCCTGAGGTGTTTTGTGATGCTCTGAGTGGTTCATCACGGCTGCAGCTCTTACATTTATCTCTGTGAACAAAATGTCCGTGATGCTTCCGATGACAGTCACAAAGTCGAACACGTTCCAGGGTTGTTTCAGGTAGTTCTGCAACACAAATAAGATGCAAATCAGGAGGTTTCACAGACAGCTCCTGCTCATGTCAACAGGAAACTTCAATCAGAACCAAAACCACTAAGAGAACCTCCTGAAGGAACCCTGAGCACTCTGCTCCTCTGAACGTCTTCAGACTGCTCATCCATCCACCTGCTGAGGCGGGAACCTTCTGCTCAGCCCCTCCAAAGTTGGTTTGATTGTTTTATTATCAAAGGCTACATCAGCAGAGCATTTAGAAACACAGATGTGAGCTCAGCGGCCAAACAGGTGGAGGTAAATGGTGTTGAGAAAAGCTATTTAATAAATGGGCTTCGGAAATGGAACAGAGCCAGAAGAGAAGCGCCTCGCTGCAGGCCCGACAGCACCGTGTCGGGAAGAGATTTATTATCCCTCTTGTCTCAGCTCAAAAGCACCTCAGCAGCTAATAGCTGCAGTTTTAGAAAAAACAGACAGATCCTAGATTTAGTAACAGCATTTTGGGCTACATGCTGGCAAAGGTGGTAGCACTGGTGCCTCACAGCAAGAAGGTCACTGGTTTGAATCCCAGAAGAAATGTATGAAAACACAAAAGGGGAAACATTTCAGAAAAAGCATTTCACAATGAATAAGTGCATAATTATTGCACATAAATAATTATATCACATAAGGATTAAAGAAAGATAAATAAATGGACAAATGAAAGAAAAAAGAGGAAATAAAATACAGATACTGACACAAAGTTAAATAATTAAAGTAACTGATTTAAATGGAAAATCTATTTATATCACAGCAATAGTTGATTTGTCCTTTTTTTTGTTTAACGAAACACTTATTTTATCCAATGATGGCATGTTTGGCTTTCTTAGTCACATCTCCCAATTCCGTTTACACTCAGTAAATCAATTATTCCTAGTTTTCAGCAGCACTTTGTTTTGTTTTATGAATCATTTTATAATTTTACCCATCATCCATCCATCCATCCATCCATCATCCTTCCTTCTATCCATCCATTCATCCATCAATCCATCATACTACCATCATCCATCCATCCATCCATCCATCATACTACCATCATCCATCCATCCATCCATCCATCATCCTTCCTTCCATCCATCCATCCTTCCATCATCCTTCCTTCAACCCATCCATCCATCCATCCATCCATCCATCATCCTTCCTTCCATCCATCATCCATCCATCCATCCATCCATCCATCATCCTTCCTTCTATCCATCCATCCATCCATCCATCAATCCATCATACTACCATCATCCATCCATCATCCTTCCTTCTATCCATCCATCCATCCATCAATCCATCATACTACCATCATCCATCCATCCATCCATCCATCATACTACCATCATCCATCCATCCATCCATCCATCATCCTTCCTTCTATCCATCCATCCTTCCATCATCCTTCCTTCAACCCATCCATCCATCCATCATCCTTCCTTCCATCCATCATCCATCCATCCATCATCCATCCATCCATCCATCCATCCATCCATCATCCTTCCTTCTATCCATCCATCCTTCCATCATCCTTCCTTCAACCCATCCATCCATCCATCCATCATCCTTCCTTCCATCCATCATCCATCCATCCATCCATCCATCCATCCATCCATCCATCCATCCATCATCCTTCCTTCCATCCATCCATCCATCCATCCATCCATCATCCTTCCTTCCATCCATCCATCCATCCATCATCCTTCCTTCTATCCATGCATCCATCCATCCATCATCCTTCCATCCATCCATCCATCCATCCATCATCCTTCCTTCCTTCCTTCCATCCATCCATCCATCCATCCATCATCCTTCCATCCATCCATCCATCCATCCATCATCCTTCCTTCCTTCCATCCATCCATCCATCCATCCATCATACTTCCATCATCCATCCATCCATCCATCCATCATACTTCCATCATCCTTCCTTCTATCCATCCATCCATCCATCCATCATCTTTCCTTCTATCCATCCATCCATCTATCCATCCATCATCCTTCCTTCTATCCATCCATCCATCCATCATCCTTCCATCCATCCATCCATCCATCATCCTTCCATCCATCCATCCATCCATCCATCCATCCATCATCCTTCCTTCCTTCCTTCCATCCATCCATCCATCCATCCATCCATCATCCTTCCATCCATCCATCCATCCATCATCCTTCCTTCCTTCCATCCATCCATCCATCCATCCATCCATCCATCCATCCATCATACTTCCATCATCCATCCATCCATCATACTTCCATCATCCTTCCTTCTATCCATCCATCCATCCATCCATCATCCTTCCATCCATCCATCCATCCATCCATCCATCATCCTTCCTTCCTTCCTTCCATCCATCCATCCATCCATCCATCCATCATCCTTCCATCCATCCATCCATCCATCATCCTTCCTTCCTTCCATCCATCCATCCATCCATCCATCCATCCATCCATCCATCCATCATACTTCCATCATCCATCCATCCATCATACTTCCATCATCCTTCCTTCTATCCATCCATCCATCCATCCATCATCCTTCCTTCTATCCATCCATCCATCCATCCATCCATCATCTTTCCTTCTATCCATCCATCCATCCATCCATCCTTCCATCATCCTTCCTTTTATCCATCCATCCATCCATCATACTTCCATCATCCATCCATCCATCCATCCATCATACTTCCATCATCCTTCCTTCTATCCATCCATCCATCCATCCATCCATCCATCCATCATCCATCCATCCATCATCTTTCCTTCTATCCATCCATCCATCCATCATCCTTCCTTCTATCCATCCATCCATCCATCCATCCATCATCTTTCCTTCTATCCATCCATCCATCCATCCATTCATCCATCCATCCATCCATCATCCTTCCTTCTATCCATCCAGCTCTAGTTCACCAGCTCAGTGGCCTAGTGGTAGAGCGTCCACCCTGAGACTGGGAGATCAGGGTTCGATTCCTGGTCGGGTCATACCAAAGACTTTGAAAAAATGAGACCCAGTGCCTCCCTGCTTGACACTCAGCATTAAGGGGTTGGATTGGGGGGTTAAACCACCAAATGGTTCCCGAGTGCAGCCACAGCTGCAGCTCACCGCTCCCCACAGGGATGGGTCAATGTGGAGATGTCATTTCACCAGTGCGTGATGACTAATGGGACTTTAACTTTATCCATCCATCATACTTCCTTCCATCCATCCATCCATCATACTTCCATCATCCTTCCTTCTATCAATCCATCCTTCCATCCATCCATCATCCTTCCTTCTATCCATCCATCCTTCCTTCAATCCATCCATCATCCTTCCTTCCATCCATCATCCATCCATCCATCCATCATCCTTCCTTCTATCCATCCATCCTTCCATCATCCTTCCTTCAACCCATCCATCCATCATCCTTCCTTCCATCCATCATCCATCCATCCATCCATCCATCCATCCATCCATCATCCTTCCTTCCATCCATCTATCCATCCATCCATCATCCTTCCTTCCATCCATCCATCCATCATCCTTCCTTCTATCCATCCATCCATCCATCATCCTTCCATCCATCCATCATCCTTTCATCCATCCATCCATCCATCCATCATCCTTCCTTCCTTCCTTCCATCCATCCATCCATCCATCAACCTTCCTTCTATCCATCCATCCATCCATCATACTTCCATCATCCATCCATCCATCCATCCGTCCATCCATCCATCATACTTCCATCATCCTTCCTTCTATCCATCCACCCATCCATCCATCCATCATCCATCCATCCATCATCTTTCCTTCTATCCATCCATCCATCCATCCATCCATCATCCTTCCTTCTATCCATCCATCCATCCATCCATCATCTTTCCTTCTATCCATCCATCCATCCATCATCCTTCCTTCTATCCATCCATCCATCCATCCATCATCCATCCATCCATCCATCCATCCATCATACTTCCATCATCCTTCCTTCTATCCATCCATCCATCCATCCATCCATCCATCATCCATCCATCCATCATCTTTCCTTCTATCCATCCATCCATCCATCCATCCATCCTTCCTTCTATCCATCCATCCATCCATCCATCCATCATCTTTCCTTCTATCCATCCATCCATCCATCCATTCATCCATCCATCCATCCATCATCCTTCCTTCTATCCATCCAGCTCTAGTTCACCAGCTCAGTGGCCTAGTGGTAGAGCGTCCACCCTGAGACTGGGAGATCAGGGTTCGATTCCTGGTCGGGTCATACCAAAGACTTTGAAAAAATGAGACCCAGTGCCTCCCTGCTTGACACTCAGCATTAAGGGGTTGGATTGGGGGTTAAACCACCAAATGGTTCCCGAGTGCAGCCACAGCTGCAGCTCACCGCTCCCCACAGGGATGGGTCAATGTGGAGATGTCATTTCACCAGTGCGTGATGACTAATGGGACTTTAACTTTAACTTTATCCATCCATCATACTTCCTTCCATCCATCCATCCATCATACTTCCATCATCCTTCCTTCTATCCATCCATCCTTCCATCCATCCATCATCCTTCCTTCTATCCATCCATCCTTCCATCCATCCATCATCCTTCCTTCTATCCATCCATCCTTCCATCATCCTCCCTTCTATCCATCCATCCTTCCATCCATCCATCATCCTTCCTTCTATCCATCCATCCATCATCCTTCCATCCATCATACTTCCATCATCCTTCCTTCTATCAATCCATGCTTCCATCCATCCATCATCCTTCCTTCTATCCATCCATCCTTCCATCATACTTCCATCCATCCATCCATCCATCATACTTCCATCCATCCTTCTATCCATCCATCCTTCCATCCATCCATCATCCTTCCTTCTATTCATCCATCCTTCCATCATACTTCCATCATCCTTCCTTCTATCCATCCATCCTTCCATCCATCCATCATCCTTCCTTCTATCCATCCATCCTTCCATCCATCCATCATCCTTCCTTCTATCCATCCATCCATCCATCCATCATCCTTCCATCCATCCATCCATCCATCATACTTCCATCATCCTTCCTTCTATCCATCCATCCTTCCATCCATCCATCATCCTTCCTTCTATCCATCCATCCTTCCATCCATCCATCATCCTTCCTTCTATCCATCCATCCTTCCATCATACTTCCATCATCCTTCCTTCTATCCATCCATCCTTCCATCCATCCATCATCCTTCCTTCTATCCATCCATCCATCATCCTTCCATCCATCATACTTCCATCATCCTTCCTTCTATCCATCCATCCTTCCATCCATCCATCCATCATCCTTCCTTCTATCCATCCATCCTTCCATCATACTTCCATCCATCCATCCATCCATCCATGATACTTCCATCCATCCATCCTTCTATCCATCCATCCTTCCATCCATCCATCATCCTTCCTTCTATTCATCCATCCTTCCATCATACTTCCATCATCCTTCCTTCTATCCATCAATCCTTCCATCCATCCATCATCCATCCTTCTATCCATCCATCCTTCCATCCATCCATCATCCTTCCTTCTATCCATCCATCCATCCATCATCCTTCCATCATCCTTCCTTCTATCCATCCATCCTTCCATCCATCCCATCATCCTTCCTTCTATCCATCCATCCATCCATCATCCTTCCATCCATCCATCCATCCATCCATCCATCATACTTCCATCATCCTTCCTTCTATCCATCCATCCTTCCATCCATCCATCATCCTTCCTTCTATCCATCCATCCATCCATCCATCATCCTTCCATCCATCCATCCATCCATCATCCTTCCTTCTATCCATCCATCCTTCCATTCATCATCCTTCATTCTATCCATCCATCCTTCCATCATACTTCCATCATCCTTCCTTCTATCCATCCATCCTTCCATTATCCATCATCCTTCCTTCTATCCATCCATCCATCATACTTCCATCATCCTTCCTTCTATCCATCCATCCACCCATCCATCCATCATACTTCCATCATCCTTCCTTCTATCCATCCATCCATCCATCCATCCATCCATCCATCATCCTTCCATCCATCCATCCATCCATCCATCCATCATACTTCCATCATCCTTCCCTCTATACATCCATCCTTCCATCCATCCATCATCCTTCCTTCTATCCATCCATCCATCCATCCATCCATCATACTTCCATCCATCCATCCTTCTATCCATCCATCCTTCCATCCATCCATCATCCTTCCTTCTATCCATCCATCCTTCCATCATACTTCCATCATCCTTCCTTCTATCCATCCATCCTTCCATCCATCCATCATCCTTCCTTCTATCCATCCATCCATCCATCCATCCATCATCCTTCCATCCATCCATCCATCCATCATACTTCCATCATCCTTCCTTCTATCCATCCATCCTTCCATCCATCCATCATCCTTCCTTCTATATATCCATCCTTCCATCCATCCATCATCCTTCCTTCTATCCATTCATCCATCCATCCATCCTTCCATCCATCCATCATCCTTCCTTCTATCCATCCGTTCATCCATCATCCTTCCTTCCATCCATCCATCCATCCATCATACTTCCATCATCCTTCCTTCTATCCATCCATCCATCATCCTTCCTTCTATCCATCCATATTTCCATCCATCCATCATCCTTCCTTCTATCCATCCATCCATCATCCTTCCATCCATCCATCATCCTTCCTTCTATCCATCCATCCATCCATCATCTATCCATCATCCTTCCTTCTATCCATCCATCCATCCATCCATCATCCATCCATCCATCATCTATCCATCATCCTTCCTTCTATCCATCCATCCATCCATCATCCATCCATCCATCATCTATCCATCATCCTTCCTTCTATCCATCCATCCATCCATCATCCATCCATCCATCCATCATCTATCCATCATCCTTCCTTCTATCCATCCATCCATCCATCCATCATCCATCCATCATCCTTCCTTCTATCCATCCATCTATCCATCCATCCATCCATCCATCCATCCATCATCCATCCATCCATCATCCATCCATCCATCATCCTTCCTTCTATCCATTCATCCATCCATCCATCATTCCATCCATCCATCATCCTTCCTTCTATCCATCCGTTCATCCATCATCCTTCCTTCCATCCATCCATCCATCCATCATACTTCCATCATCCTTCCTTCTATCCATCCATCCTTCCATCCATCCATCATCCTTCCTTCTATCCATCCATCCATCCATCCATCCATCCATCATCCTTCCATCCATCCATGATCCTTCCTTCTATCCATCCATCCATCCATCCATCATCTATCCATCATCCTTCCTTCTATCCATCCATCCATCCATCCATCATCCATCCATCCATCATCTATCCATCATCCTTCCTTCTATCCATCCATCCATCCATCATCCATCCATCCATCATCTATCCATCATCCTTCCTTCTATCCATCCATCCATCCATCCATCATCCATCCATCCATCATCTATCCATCATCCTTCCTTCTATCCATCCATCCATCCATCCATCATCTATCCATCATCCTTCCTTCTATCCATCCATCCATCCATCCATCCATCCATCCATCATCCATCCATCCATCCATCATCCATCCATCCATCATCCTTCCTTCTATCCATCCATCATCCTTCCTTCTATCCATCCACCATCCTTCCCTCTCTCCAGCCACTTGGGCCAGCTCCTCCTGGGGAATAATTCTAAATAACTATAAATAACATTTTGTGAATCGTGTCACACGATTTTAAGACTGACAACAATCGTTTACCTAACAACCTTCCAACAAACAAAGGTATTCAAACTCTAGAGTCCTCTTGCATTTCTGCAGGTTCTTCAACCCGACCTGAGCAGGAACCCGCCGGACCAGCGAGTGTTTACTCACAACCAAAACGGTCCTACCGGCTCACCAGAGGGTTGAAGGCGATAATCTTGAGGATGCACTCCAGCGTGAAGAGGCCGGTGAAGATGATGTTTAGGTATTTTAGCATTGACTCGTATTCAGCTGGAGCATCGTAGAACTGGAGACAAATAAGTGAACACGAGTACGATCACATTTCACAGGAGAACAAAACAAATGAGTGTTGTCAACGAAGTTCTACAACGCACAACATCCATGAAACACAACATCCATGTAAAGGCTAAAGGTCAAAGGTTGTCTAAAACATTTTAATTAACTCTTATATGAACAGAGGGCAGGTTACCAGATGATCATGACATAAACAGAATAATCTCACACTGAACCCGTCGGTGTTGGACTAGTTAGACCTAAACTCCTCAAGTCCAGACCCATGGAGAATGTGTCGCGCCTGACTTCTATCATATGCTGACGATACCATCTCTACCTGTCAATCATAGCGACCAGTCTCAGTAGGACTCTTGGACAGTTTCTCCTATAACAAGAAACCCAACACCTTCAACCCAGCTTCTCTAAAACTGGACCACTCATCTTCCCAAGCCAAACCAACCGTACAGCCCAATGTCTCAACCAGAACGTTTTCCCAATCTCGCTCCACTAAAGATAGCTCAAAATGTGGTTGTTGTGATTGATGACCAGTTGACTTTTAAAGATCAAGTTGCCTTGGTCACTCGTTAACGCTGACCAAGTGCCCACATTGCCCCGCTTGTCCTCCAGCTCCACTGGCTGCCAGTTAACTCATTTCAGCTTTTTTCAGTTTCAGAACAAAATGAACTAATCACAGAAATATTGACAAAACAAGGAATTCTGCTGGAATAAAAACACAAGCTCCTGATTTATGACAGTAAAGTACCTCCGTAGGTGTGGTACACATAAAACTACAGATTTCCTAGTGTGGAGAATTTATTTTAAAAAACCCAAAACCAGAGCAGAAATGTTTGAGGAGAATGCTTCCTTGGGGTCAGAGGTGAGAACTGACCTTCATCATCAGAACAACAGTGTTCAGTGCGATTAAAGTCATGATGGCGTACTCGAACGGTGACGACACCACAAACTTCCACATCTTGTACTGAAAGGACTGCTTGTTCTCTGGCATGTATCTGGTGAGCGGCTTGGCGTTGATGGCAAAGTCAATACAGGCCCTCTGTAGGAAAGGAAAATGCTGAACGATGAAGGAAGCTCAGAGGAACACGATGAATTAAAACAGGATGCAAACAACAGAAGCAGTTGAGGTCAAAGTTCAACTACGATGCATGTAAGACAAAAGAAAATAACAAAACCAGTCAGGAAGAAGGCATTTTCCACTTTCACACCTCATTCTTCTCCAAGCTGCACTCCGACATGGCCTTGTCTCCTTGCTCCTGGAAGGTGATGATGATCAAAGCCACAAAAATGTTGACGAAGAAGAAGGGAAACACCACAAAGTAGACCACATAGAAGATGGCCGTCTCCATGCGGAAGCCGGGGCTGGGGCCCTGGTCCTCGTACGTGGCGTCAACAGAGTGCTTCAAGACCCTGAAGAGATGGAAAAGGTTCACTTAGCTGACAGTAAGATGCGATTGGCTACAGATTCATAGTTACTGTCCAGAAATGGGACCTTCTAGAAAAAGACGCTTTAAAGAGACGTCCATGTTCTTCACATGGACGGGGTAGTAATGAGACTATGTGATAAAATGGTAAAGTGGCCTGTATTTGAAATAGCGCCTTCTAGAGTCCTGGAACCCCCCAAGGTGCTTTACAACACAATCAGTCATTCACCCATTCACACACACATTCACACACTGGTGGGGATGAGCTACAATGTAGCCACAGCTGGCCTGGGGCGCACTGACAGAGGCGAGGCTGCCGAGCACAGGCGCCACCGGTCCCTCCGACCACCACCAGCAGGCAATGTGGGTTAAGTGTCTTGCCCAAGGACACAACGACAGCGACAGACTGAGCGGGTCTCGTACCTGCAACCTTCCGATTGCGAGGCGAGCACTTAACTCCTGTGCCACCGTCGCCCCATGACGTGATGTTTCAGACACGTTGAGCGGAGTGGTTTTACGGCAGCAGAGGTCATCATAGGTGGCGTCTATGCTGTTAACGGGACTTAGGGAAGACATTACAACTACATGTAACACTGATTTAAGATGCTGCTGCTGCTGTTAGGAGAAAAAGACATCCTCTGACTTCGGGGGGTGTTCCATTTTCATTTTCCTACTTGGAAGTTGGAATTTACGAGTATCGAGCACAACTGGAAGGCACCATTAATCTGGGAGAAACATCCAATCTGGAAACACTAGCCACAGCGTCGCACCGGTCATTTATTTATCCGTTTGGAGCTGATTGTTGCACTTTGACCCAAGTTCTCCAACTTTTCTATTTCTCTGGGCAAACGGTTCAGAAAATTCATTCAGAAAAACCGAAAAGTGACCTAAATAAAAAAAGAATGAATGTTCTGCAGTTTGAGGCACAATCCTTTGGTTCTTAACTCAGCCTGGTTCCTCCGTCAGGCAGAACGAAGGCAACAGCTGGAAAAAGAAAAGAACTTGTTCATTCCTGGAACTGTGAACCTAGTTCACAATGTTTGAATTCTGAACTATGAGCTGAACTAGTTTATTTTCTAAATGTGTGAACTGAGCTTTGAGCAAGTTCACATTTAAAACGAGCAGATCAGCCACTTGGTAGAGTTCCAGTCCTTAGATCTCATTAAAGCTGAATTTAACTGAAAAATAAACGAGTAAACATAGAAAACAATATGGAGAGGTTTTCAATTAAAAGTTCCTACGTATTATTATTATTAGGGTTATTATCATTATTATTATTATTATTATTATTATTATTACTATCCTAACTTCCCCAAATGTACTAAAAACGCATTCACAGAATTAATTGAACACAAGTGAGTTTTATTAAAGAGCAAGTCACCCCCAAATCAGCTTTTATGCTGATAAACTATATAAATGCGTGTCTAATCGTGCTGCAGACACGTGTAGTCAATAGTTTAGCACTTTAGTGCATTTTAGTTAAAATTTAAATATTCTGCCTAAAACTGTCAGTGTTGTGCCGTCGTCAGGTAAAAACTCTGCACTGCATTTGAATTTAAATCTGCCATCGCTATTGGCTAAGAGGTACCCTAGAACGTTAGCTGGTACCATATGATGTCACAATGTCGTTGTGTGCCTGTGTGTGTGTGTATTTGTTAGCAGCTCCACCCTCTCGGTCTGCTAGGCAACAGTATTTGTTGCATTTTTCAAACAGGAAGTGGGAGCGGAGTAATACTCTGGTAGGGGGTGACTTGCTCTTTAACAAATAAAAAAAATAAATCCAGTGAATTTTATCGAGATTTATGGATTTCAATTTAGCATTTTAACTGAGATGTCAAATTGTTCCGAATTGTTAATTGATAACGGTTCTAATAAGATAATATCAGGTATCAATAATAAAATCATATCAGCTTGTCACGGTTATTTTATGAAGCCCGTCGTCACACAGCCAGAGGTTTAGAGCTGATTAGAAGCTGCAGGTATGTTTCCGAGGACCGACTTGAGGAATTTAACTCATTCCCGTGTTTCCTCCAGCATAGCTGGCTCTATATCTCTGCTGTAGCTTCCTGTAATTCTCAAACCTGTCGCTCCTGGGCGGTTTACTAAGCTGCCAGAATTTAGAGAATTAAACAGAGAAAATATTCAGTTTAACGAGTCACTTTTCACCTGCTTGTGATGAAAATGACCAAAATCAATAAAAACTGGGGCATGAAAGGCTCTTGACAGATGATTTTAGTAAGCCAGGATGTGTTTTCGGTTTAATGAGCCTTGATTGCATCAGTAACGAGCTCAGAGTAATTAAACCTGAGAGAAATCAGCGGGGTTTCATCGGAGCTGCACCCCCAGGAATCCCGCGAATCCTTTCTTATTATTGTTTCTAGGAAGGAAATTGGTCTGTGTTGAGTTTGTTGTGTGTGTAAAAAGGTTAAAGGTCACATGCACGTAACTCACAGTGGCCACCCCTCTCCGGTAGAGACGGTGAAGAGCGTTAGAAAAGCCCAGAGAACGTTGTCGTAGTGGAACTCGTACTTCTTCCACTCTCTGGGCTGAGCTGTCACTGCGTCTTTATCGTAATCCAGGAACTGACCTCTGCAGGGAATCAGACAGGCAGCGACACACAAT